AAAAAAAAAAAAAAAAAAAAAAAAAAAAAAAAAAAAAAAAGAATTTTGAAACATTTTTTTAGATATTTGTATTATTGTTGGCAGTTTTTTTTCCGTCAATACGATTGAGAGAATATCTACTTCATTTCACATTTATTTATATCGCAACTATAATTTTCATATTCTGTCGAACTTACCATTAATGATAAAGCATACTTTTAGAATTTCCGGATAATTCGACTCGTACATTTGGATAAGAGCGAGGACCAATTCGCCAGCTGCAACAGGCATCGATAAAATAACGATAGAAAATAAATCGGCAAGAAGCACCGACAAATTTCCGAGGTTTATCCGAATACGTTACCTGGTTTCCACAAATACTGCTTAAGATTAAATCCTTCCATGTCAAAGACGACAGTCAGTTGATTGGCGACTTGTCCGTGAATCTTCGATTGCTCCCTGGCCAAATTCAAGTAATAATCCAAGAACTTTATCATATATTTGATGAAGTCGTTTTGACTTATTACGTGCAATGCTCCGTGCATATCTAGTCCGGCAAATGGTACGATGATAACTACAAAAATATTCATTATTATGTATTTTTGAAAAAGGCTATTATGAATTCACGATCAATTCATAATGCGAATTTCGAAAGCACTTTTCTTGTCTCATTTTTTTTTTATTAAAAGTTAGATTTTTCTATTAAAAGTTTAATAGTAAAGATTTCTCTAAATATCGAGTATTCGATTAGAATTGCCGTTCTATACTGAATAATTTTATCAAGTATAGTCGTTATGTGAAATGCGTTGCTGTTTTTCAGAAGAATTCTTGCAAGACTGACACAAATCTCTCATTTTTCAGAATGCAATTCTTTTTAGATTCAAGATCTTTTTTTGCTACATCTTTAAATTCACTTTACAAATATCAAATATATAAGAATGTTAAATTTGAGCTTATTAGAATTCCAATAATCCGACAGGAGGTTAATAATTTTATTGGAATTAGATTTTAATTTTGTTGTCAGAATTTGTTCTCGACATCTATAATTAAGTAAAAATTTGGTTGATGCAACGACGTTTAAAATTTTAATAGCTTTCGAATAAGATTATTTATCAGATAGCTACGAAACATAAATATCGCAACTTATGTAAGAGAAATAAAGAGATTAATTGGAAGAAAATAATACATTTCGAAATAACGCAAAATCGCGGTCACGATCTTTACATCTTACATATTTCTCATAGGGAAAAGTTGTGCTCTTAAAAAAACATAGACCTTGACCGAATTCTTCCCCCAAATGTCGAAACTTGTTGCGTTTCAGGTTTTAAAATCCGTCGACTGTTATATTTATGAGTCGAGGGCTGAATTAACGGTCATGAGAAAATATTCCACTGTCATATGCGATCGAGTTATAAATGATATTAATTCGATGGACTTTCACTGCAATTATGTCAATGATATTCACATTTCAATAGGATTTTTACAAGTCTCGATAGAATTGTCGTTTGGAGGAATAATCGTTTTTAGAGAAAGTAAAAAATCAATTTTTTTCTCGCTTTTTTTAAGCTGAAAATTTTTAAAATATGTATGTTTCTGATACATTAAATCGAGTTAGAAATAACGCCAGAGGATTCTAAGGATTCAGAGGATTCTAAGGATTCTATAAAAAGAATCTTCAAACAAAAAGTTTGCCTTTAAACTCAGCAGGTAGAAATTTTGACCTGCTATTTTTACTATTTTGTCTACTTTTAGTGTATATGCACGAAACAAAATATCTCTTTCGACTTTTCTCGTGACAAGAGATTTATGGTTTTAACTGACAGTATTCGTGTGTCCCTTTGCGTCGATACGTTTTCTACCTGCTTTTGTGTAGTTCGGATGGTTCTGTTGAAATTTTTCTTTTTTTCGAAAAATCCTTCTTCAGTTATTTTCTCGCAATTTATTTACTTAAGGAATATACAGTGGCGTACTTAAGGAATATACAATTTTATTACACTTTCTTTTTTATAAATTAGAGTACAAAATGTCACTGGTCGGAAACTTTTGCACGCCACTGTATATTTTTTTAAATCGTACAATATTTTTAAAAGCGTATAAATAAAAAATATTTAGAATCGAAAACCGTAAAATATTGCAAATTTCATGAATAATTTATTATTTGTTAATTATTTTACTTGAAAAGAATTAACAAATCTAATTTTTATTTCAAGAATTCGTAGATTTAAAAACTGATTTATATTAGAAAAAAAAGTAAGGTGAAGAGAAAAAAAATTACTTGGTGCGCCGTCCTTGTCGAATCCGCTTAATCCATGAGGAAAATAATCCAACATTCCATTATGAGGATTCCACTCAGATATATTATCAGCGTCGTATTGTTTTCGCCATTGCAAAGACTGCGAATAGATATTTTCCTTCAAATATTTATCATTATCTAATCATTACGAAATCGTGTAAGATAGCGTTGAATCGTAATCAAAATTATCAATGAAATAATTTCTGATTGTTCGGTATTGCATCGGTGAACAGATCTTGTTGAACATTTTGAATATTTTTATATAGGGAATAAAAAAATAGGATCTCGGAATTTTTCTACTATCTTTACTATGTCTAACAATGCGCGCGATGTTTCAAAATATGTTATTTAAACACATGGGGTATTTATATAATGTAACGTGATGTAGCATGTGGCGCATTAAAACACGATTTCCGTGGTTGCAAGAAGTTTAAAAATGTCCTGCGCAAGGAACACTCTTCACGACTGATACTTAACGATGACAAAATAATGGGGTTTCACGCGCGATAGAAAGTGAAAAGGGTAATTTCCCGCGGGCATCCACGTCGGAGATTACCTCGGAGAATATTAGTTGCTTTGCACTATGCACTTCCCGATTTTCAATCATCGTGAAACTTCTCTAAATGAGAATCGCAAGACGGGGACTTTGTACATGCTTCAAGGGAATTGGCTTATTACTTTCAACTTGCAAAACAGCACAGATTGTAGAAAACGGACTTTCTATTTCGTATAAAACATATCCGAGAACAAAAAAGCGAAATCTACGATAATTCATAATTATAGGGGTTTGTCACTTAGTTTTTATTTATTTATTTGTCCGTGAATCATGTTTTCGTTATTATGTCGAGCGTAGCACGTGAGTTAACCGCTGGAAAAAAAATCGTTAGTTACAAAAAAATTAATTATCATTATACTTATACATTATACTTAAACTTCATATCATTGAATATGAAACGCGTCACATAAACTGCATCAATAAATTTTTCTTGTGACTGCAAAAATTAGTTTATAAAGAATTATATAAGTTACAGTACGTTTTATAGTTAAAAGACTTACTGAGTCTATCTATTAAGCTTGCCGGACGAAATTGAATTGCAACAATATCTATTTTTTTTGGAATAGCATGTCAGAAACGGATAGATTTCTTATTAAAATATTCTAGGTGATGAGCTAGTCTTCAGAGTGCAACGAGCCATGTCGCAGCTCGCTGAATTTGTGCCTGCCACGTTAATATTTAATGACTCGCGGGTAATTCACGTAGCAGAGAAATTCAAAAGGCTCGGTGACCATATCCGGAACGTGTTTCACCAGACTTTCTCAATTGGATTCGCCTGTGTTTTGTTATCAAGAATAGAGAGCTTAATCCGTAAAGATAGTTCGAACGTGTAATCAGCGTCCGGTCGCTGTAAAAATGGATGCACGTATTTATTGTATGTCGCGTAGAAACAAGACATTATTTTGCACGTGTAAGATAAACGGCTGCGATTATGTCTTAATCGTATGCACTTTGATGTCGATTAAATATACTTACGTCTCTCAGCATCTTTTCCGCCGCAGTAGGATCCCATTTTCTCGCTAAAATGTAGAAATACGAGTTTATTCGAACTTGCATTATAGCTTGCGTGTAATATTTTTTTATATAATTGAAAATGATGTAAAAAAAAGAATTGCTATACATCTGTGACATTTAATGCACAAATAATTTGTCAATTTACATAAAATGTTAAAAATTGTAGAATAAGTATAGAATAAGTTTTCGATCAAATTTGTGATAACAGAAATGAACAAAAATTGCAAAATAAGCAATCTGCAACGATTGGAAAATTTGCGGAATAAGCAAAGCTTTTACATCGATTGAAATGAAGCCTCAATTTAATACGCAATCGATTACACGTTTTAAGTTCTTTCGTTGTTTAATGACGGATGAATTGTGCATTATTTAACATGAATCACAGTTCGTTTTTGAAACAATTAATAATCGACAAACTCTCTCTCTTTTTCTCTTTCTCCCTCTCTCTCATTTCCGCGATTTCCGTCGTCTTATTTCAAAAGAATTTACCTAATTATCTCGTTAAACACTGCCTCGACATCCGCGGCGAGGTAAGAAAATGATAGATGCAATGTTGGAATATACAAATATTTTTTACGCATGATTACACCGTGCACGCAAAGTAAAGGATGATATCTACCGAAATCACGAAGTATATTTCCTTCGATAGCATTAATATCGAATCAATACCTCTTAGCCAACGAAGCAGAAAGTGGTCGTCGTGGTGTGGCTGCAAAACATCTTGCACGGATCGCCTGAACTGCAAACAAAGAACACAGGCTTGTTATTATCTTGCACGTCATCGAACGATGACTGTCGAAATTATCCATTCACGCGTGCTTCAAGCGGTTAGCTTTTATTTTTCATATTTACTTTTATTTTTCATATTCATATTTACGCCGCAAGCGTTTTTATCTATACGTTTTTTTCCGGAAATGTATCTGCCTGTTTTAGCGCCGCAACCAAGTCCTTATATACAATTCGTGATTATAATTTACAGGAAACGCAGCCGTCGTCACTTGCGAGGAAGTGAAACTTCCTCGTCGATTCCCCGACTCGACGTTGTCGATGCTTGATGTATTGACAGGACGGTCTACATTGACTTGTTACTAGCGGAGGTTCTCATCAAAGTGTTACTTTTACTGAGACTTGTAGAAAATCATGGAAAATATAGATTTTGGCGATATGAGTGATTATTTTACACGCTCGTTTGTGTTACATTTCTTACGTACAACGCGATCGGAGAACTTTTATAAATATTCGGGCGGCGTACGTCAAAAATAAAAGTTTGCATAAAAGATACGTTATACCGTTATTTCTTTCAAAAATAAACAGCTCGGATCAAATTAAATAAATTAGCGTCGTTTCACAAGCGGTTAGAAGAAACGGATTATTTCGCAAATGAAACTTCTAGCATGCAACTAGGCGATCAAAAAAATTCTCTTAATTCGTCGATGAATTACTAGAAAAATGCCTCCGTAGAATTTTAATTCGCAACTTTCAATTACCGTAGAGCGTAAAACGCGAGAATTGAGAAGTCGAAATAAATTGCTCAGCGCACTACAATCTGTTTATTACCTGATCGAAGCGAATCGTTACGTTGTACACAAAATTAGTGATACGATATGTGGAATGTGGATCTCTTGCATCACGAGACAGTTGCTATTACAACATCGGTTCCATGGTCGATGGACAAGACCGGGAAAAGTGTGCGAAGGTAACCACGACGCTCTTATACGTCACGTATCATTATTGGGCGACGGGTAAACCGGTTCGCGGCTCTGCCGCGAAAAAAACTCTGCGCGTTTTGCCTACATACATTCGCAACTTGGCTAAGTCTGCGTCGCACTTTGGTAAAGCTAAATGCATTGTTTTGCAAGTGTTCGATCGTAACGAGCGGAAAGTTCTTTCTAACTCCGTGGCTTCGAGCGCGCAAGCCATATCGCGTTTCGACGCTAATCGGTGAAAAGCGCGGCCGGCAAGATCGGAGCCTGCGAACGCTAACATTTTGTCTTCGTTCTATTTTTCGAGTCGTCGAAATATTTGCGACACGCTGTCGCGTTAGATGGATATATCTGGATATTTATAAATGTTCGACTGAATATTAAATAGATTGAATATAAAAAACAGATTATAATTGAGTTGTTTTCTCAAATGCTTTTCGTAGAACTCGCTTACGATAGTAGAGTAATTAACTGCCGAATCTATTATTATATTGAGAAGGAAAAGCGCGTGGTAAAAACAACTGGTGACAATACAACACAATTTTTTCTCATTGAGAATCTTTGTTTTGCAAATGTAATTGTCAAGGATGAAAAAAGTTGCGCACAGCGCATTTTGCTTTCAGCAGCGCAATGCATGTCGTAATATTTTCAGCGTTTTTTGCGCTTACTTTTATCCTTTGCTTCAACTTTTTGTTACATTAAAGATGTTCAGAGAGGTCGTGCAAAACAGTCATAATTTTCTAAATTTGCTAAGTTGAGCGTTATTTTAACGATTATTTTATACGATTGCTTCGATCAGCGAGAAAAGATCATTCTGCGGAGTTTTCTCGCTTATTTTCGCATGCCGTAATCTAAGACGACGCACTCGAGGAGTGCTGAGAATCCGCTAAAGTGTGCCGTGCCCGCGTACGGGATTTGCACATGCCCGATTGTTCCCGTTTGCGCGAGCTATGACTTCAGTCACAGACGAATGAAAGTGTCGTCACTGACGCGACATTCCCTCTCATTCGGCGCGAGAAAACGCCCGATCCAGCCGGTTGGCATGGAATCGAAAAAATTACTAAATTCCGTCTTTATAAATATATATATATTATACAAAAAATATATAATTATGTAGATCTATAAAACTTTTGAATTCAAACAGATTTCGTAAGACGAGAAAAAAATCTTTAATATCAAAACGATAAATATGTATATGTTTTTTAAAATTATTTTTTGCTGATCTATCGTTATGATTTTATGGAAGATTATGTCGGGACTGGGATTCATAAACAATTTTTTTCTTGTAATTCAACACTGGCGAGAAGTAAAATTACCAATTATATTTCGCGATTCGATACATCTCGCTGCTTGAAATAACCGCCATTTGATCTTTGTTCCAGATACCGAGATGAACGATCGTGAGGTAGAAGAGCAATCTAGCGCGGTGAAATCTTCCCTCAATATCGTGAGTATTAAAATTTCTATCTTATTGAGAAATTGCGTTAATAAATCCGACTCACACGTAGCGTCTTCAAGGATATCTTCTACATGGATATATAATTTATTTGAAAGACTAAGTTTTTTCTCTTGCCACTTATTGAGATCTTAAGACTTTTTATTGTTCATTATATTGCTCCTCGGAGAATGTTACGAAATGTCACATTTATTTCTGTAATACGAATCAGTAAAATACGATATGATGCTAGTTTAAATAAGTAAATCTTTTTTTCTCCATCGGAAATTTACAAAACGATATGTAAAGTCTGATCGTCGGAAGAATACTTTTGCTTCATCAGCAAAGCGAAAGATAAGGAACGATTTAATTTATTTTAGCTATCATATTTCTTCCTGTTTTTCGATATATTAGCTTATAACAAAAAGAAAAATTTAAATGACAAATTTTTATTAGTGATTATGTTTTCTGATGAAAGTGGTTTCTTTGCTTAAAAAATGTTTTTTAAGTTTTAAAAAAAAGTGAAGGATCTGCTTGTGTGAAATCCGAAAAAGATCATCGTCGGTTACAACGATTACAAACGTTACGCAACACAAAATGATTCGAATACTCGTTTAGCTACTTGCGACTGTTTACGTTACTTTATGCGCGTCCTTTTGCATAAATTTTCAACAACTTCTCAAGTACTCGATAAATACTAATCTTATGCATTTACGTCATGTTATAATAATATTATGTCTAATTACATTACATGATTACATTTTTTACGCGTAATATTGATATTTCATTAATTTGATTATTATTACCGAATAAATTTGTTTGGGTGCGGCTTGAAAGTATATATTTGTTTGAAATTTTACTTTCTTCTTCAGAAAAAAAATTCTTATTTCTTTTTATGTCTTTATTTTAGAAAACTCTCCAACATGCAAAATGAAATTTTATCCATTATTGATATTTTTTTTTGCTTTCACCAAGAAATCAATCTCTCAAGTTAATTATAGTTTTATTCGTTTTTTATATTAAAATTTAACAGAAGAAAAGCTTTGTCAGCTTCTATCATGACTGTCATGAATTATTAATCTACTACTGCGTAATACATCTATTTGCGCAATAAAGATCACCAACATTTATCATCATGTTTGTATCAATTTAATTTTTTTGCTCTATAAAAGCATAAATAGACAAAATCAAGTTCAAGAAATCAATGTTTACTCGTTCTTGAGTTTGGATTAATTCAATTCTTAGTTTAATCACAAGCTATATTGCAATAATTGATTGCAACTGAATTAATTAAAGTGCTGCAAAATGACGTTTGTTGCATGACAATTAATATTAATAAAATAATCTCGCTACTTGTGAACTGGTGAACTAAAAGTTATTTCTAATCGTTTGAGTCGTCTTTAATTAATTAATTAATTATTTTAAAAAATTAATATAAAATATAATTTTTGCATTTCGCAAATGCATTTTAAGTGTCCATCACTTATGTCATATTGTTAAGAAAAATCAAAATATGTGGTTGCTTTACACATTAAGTATTTTAATTGATTTGTATTCGTGATAGCTTTGGAATTTGTAGAGTGAACTCATTACTTACTTTCATCAGTGCAAATCGCTCATCGTCTGCCAATTTCAACAATGTCGACATGCTTGCTGTTGTAATGATGTGATGATTTGATTGTAATCTTAATGTTGCTTCAGTTGCAAATCGTTGGTCCACGGTCTCTGATTTACAAGATCTTCGGAAATCACGTCTTTTATATTTTGACACCTACAAAAAAATAAATATAATCTAATAAGAATCGGGATGACTTGTGCTTTTTATCAAGATTACGAAGTGTATCTCTTATATATCTGATCTTTTTCGTTATTGTTATTTTTAAATATAATGTGAAGTTTATCATAAAATAATCGAAAAATTTATCGAAACAAAATATACTTTTGCAAATATATTGTACTTTCGGACTGCTACACTCAATAATTGTGTCGGATAACTTTTTTATCGAGATAAAAAATTATGAATATATAAATATACGAAAAATATAAAATTATGAACTTGACTTAACTACCGCTAATTACACATCGACTCGTTTATATAAAATATAGAAATTATTATAGAAATCAAGCTTAAGTAATCATTATTAACTGTTTCTTCAATTTGAATTTGTTTTATTAGTGTAGTTTTTAGTGTGAATTATAAATTACATTGAAGTAATTGGTAATCAACTGTGGATTAATTAAGGAACTGCAAAATAACAGAGTGAAACTTAATAGTTTTGTGTTGATTTGTGAGAAATGAGTTCAAAATCTGAATTTAAAAGAAGAACAGAGAGTTTTACTTGCCGTTCTTCATAGTATATTTAAGTTCGTCGTGAAGGTCAAGCCTTTCAAAATTTTATGTAAGAACAATGCAAACGATTTATTAGTGCAATTTCTATTCGAAGCGCAACAATCAACGCGTTTCACAGAATAATTAATAATAAGGCAATCTATTTTATCTGCGAATTTTTTTCTGCAAAAAATAGCAATGTTGATAGTTCGCTGATTGTTCGCTATAACGGCCGGTTAATTACAGAATTCGCGTATACCGCGGAATTGTCTAAAAACCGCAAACCATGCGTAGCGGCTTCTCACCGTTGATCGTTATCACATTCGACCTACGTAGAGACTCACGTAAACTAGGAGCACTAAATTCTTACAACACTTTACAATTATCATTGATTTTTATTGTACTTTAACAATTTATTCCAGAATGAGAAAAGCGTCAAGCAATTATTTATGCAATCAGAGTCTACAAAACAATACGCAAATATAATATGAAAAAATACACACACCTTTAGGGCGAGACACGGTACCGTGAGAACTTTCTAACACAAAATTGCAAAACTCTTGAAAACTTTGCGCACGATCCTAGAAATGTACAATCCTTGCGATCATCGGTGATCGCGGATGACTGACGAGTATTGTTTGCTAGGCGAACGAACGAACTCGTCCTCGAGGACTTCCCGCGTTTGCGGTTGCTCGGCGTCGACTGATCAATGCAACAAGTGTCCGTAAGTTGCGATTGCCGCGCGCTCGCGTCCGCTCGCTATAAAGGTGAGATAGATGTGTATTCGTCGCGGGGCGAGTGGCACCGGAGGAATGGATACCGGCCGCCATCCCGGCGATGGCTAGGTTCCAAGCGCGACGCCCCACCATCCACGTCCGTCGCCGTCATGGCATCGACCTCGGCGCGATCCGTTCCCAGCCACGAGCTGGTGCTTGAAGAGAGTGCGGCCGGCGACGCCGGTTTTCTTTCGACGCGGATCCCGGCGGCGCGTTTCAACATCGCACGGGCCCAACCGTGTCCGGTTATTCCGCTGCGAAATGAGGTCCAGCCCGCCACGACGCGGGTACACCGTGCTCTGGCGACGATGTAGCAACGAGTCGGAGCTCGACGCGTCCGTAGCACTCCGTGAGTAGCTTTCGCTCTGACTTCTGATGCTTGCAGCTTCCGCCGCCGTCTACGTCGACGCGATAATCTTAACACCTTACAGCGATTTCGTTGACGAATAACGTCGACGTTTCGTTCTTGATTTATTTAGATCAGAGCGCGAAAGATTCATTATTCTTCTATTAGATTTCACGTTAAATATAGAAATCTGCAATTTTTAACACCAAATTTTCTTCTACAATCGAATTGATTAACAGATACGGGAAACTTTTTTGCATTAAATAAACATTATAAGATGCAGCTAAAAATCCGTGTTCGTTTTATATTCGTGTTTCTTTTCAATATTTTTGCTCACATGGAGCAATAACTAATTTCTTGCACTGTTTTATTGCACTGAAAATGATGAGGATCTCTGTCTGCAAAGACGTATGGAATTGCAGGAAATTAGTATATAAAGTGTCCATTTCGAATTATTCATATTCAGCGTTAGATGTGATTGTTCAATTTAACGCGGCATTTATCATTCTAATATGAACATTATCTTCACGCAATCGTGAGTCACGATTTCTGTGAGTTTATATGATTACATTTAATGCTAAATGTGTTGTATGAATGATGAAAACTCACCGTTCAAATATGAGAGTGAGAAATCGCTCGCTATGACAACATTGGATCTTCATGCTATGTCAAGAAGCAAATCTGACTTTGGGCCACAATACAACATGCTCGTTTTCAAGGTCGATTTTATTTACGATAAATTGAGCAGCAAAGATATCATCTTTTATTTTACTGTAGGACGGCAGACATTCTGTAACGGAAAATTTTCGGTCAATGAACTGCTACCTATATTAATTGAAATTCAACTTTGTCACGAGCTGTAACATAAATTGCGTCACGAATGCGAGTGAAATACGATATCATTAGGCTTATCAATTCAGCAGCAATGAAAATTTTGCTGAACGTGACTCGTCACCGTGTTTTCGCTAGACTAGAATGATAAAAAAATAATTAATTAAAGTGATTAATAATCAAGGTTGGAAAAGTTACTTTATAAAAGTAACTCGTTATCGTTACCGTTCTTTTTTCTAAAAAGTAACTCGTTATCGTTACTCGTTACCAATTTTAAAAAGAAACTCGATACCGTTATCGTTATACTCAAAAAGTAATCGTTACAATTTCCGTTACTTTTTTTATATATAATACAAATTTTATGCACAATTTTTCTAATATAAGATTAAATTAAACACTATAAATTTACAGTAAGTAAACATTAAAAATTTTTAAACATTATTTTTTATTAAAGTAACAAAAATGATATAATTTTAATAATATATAATAAAAGTAATAATTTTGATAATAAGATATTTTAAATAAGAAAAATTTTTAAAAAATAATTTGTAAACAAGCTTTCTTAAAAATTTTTACATGCTGTAAATATAAATTAAAAAGTTTTCTTATTGTTAGTTTTTCTATGAATTCGTAGATATATAGAGTAAATTTGAAAAATGTAACGATAAAAGTAACTGTTACATTCGTTACTCGTTACCGAAAAATGTAACGAAGTTACTTTTTTCGTTAAAAAAAAATTTGTAACGCCATTACCATTACAGTTACAGAAAAAAAGTAATTGTAACGGTAACGGCGTTATAAATAACGCGTTACTTCTTAATCCTGAAAAAGATGAATATCAATCCGTTTATACAATAATGATAATACTTTTAAAAATTAGAATTGAAAACTTATCGGAACGTATATTATGTACTTTTGATGCACATCAAATTTATCATATATTATTTTTTATAATTTAATTTGCAAAATTTATACGGCAAAGACTAAATATTAATTAATCATTAAAATTAGAGAAAGATTAATCATTTTTAGATGTTGTAATATAATAATACTTTAAGATTAATTAGTGGCAAATGATCTTTACCTAACTTATCTCATTAATTTGATTAATATATCTGTTTGTACAAATATTTCTGATTTTTTTACACTACTTTCGCTAATTTGCATAATCCGTTATCCTCCTAATAATGAGAGCGCGTTACGTTGCAGCTGGTGGCGATATCTGACGACGAGTGTGAATACTTAGCTGCTTTGGGTGTCGCTTGTGGCTGGTTTACATGCGTGCGAGGCACATCAATATACAATAAAAAAACCATAGTTTCTAGGAAGTTTGTCTGACGATTTATTTGTTTCTAGGAAGCAAATTTTTTATTGGATATTGAAAGTGATGCATTAGACGACGAATGGAATGTGAATCAGCCATAATTACGTCGAAATCAAAATTTTAAACACTAATTTAAGCGCCAAAAATGAAAGAACAGAATGACAAACAGATGGCGTGAATTCATATAAAAGTACAAAGCGCTCGATTCACTGTACAAATGGTCTACTGTTCGAGTATTTTGGAAAAATAAAAGATCATACAGCGGTATCGTACGAGGGTTGTGAGTGTAAGTCGTTTTTTTGTATTCGGGTATGGCAATGCGCATATATACCTCGCTAGCGAGCATCGAGGGTGATCAGGGGGTGCGGCGAGGAAAGACGCATTGCGACCGACAAGCAGACTCGATTCGGTGAGCTTTCGCGCAATGATGCGTATCCGCGAGTGGTTTGTTTTTGCGAGTCGCTAATCGTTTTCGCGAAGTGAATCGAACGCTTCGTGTGCAGCCGCGTAGCTGAGAATGCGAATAGAGCGACTACCTTGTTTCGGCATTGAAGGCCGACGTATCCCCCGTGAAAGAGCAAATAAATCACACAGGAGGATCGATACCTTGACCTTAAGACACGTACATCCTACAACTTCGAAGGCTTGGCCAATAATTTTCACGTAAGTAAACTCTTTGCCTGAAAAAAATAATACGTATGCATTGTATTAGGACGTATATTTGCGAGATTTCATGAACAAAGGACAAAATGGTTCGTGAAACGAGTGAACGACCCTGCTGCTGTATAGGTTATGTTTTTGTGCAATTAGTGACGCTAATTTAAATGCATAACGAGAAAGGAGCTTGTGTAAATTGAAACGAATTCAACGGATTGATAAAAGATTGATAAGATACTACGTGAATAATTTTGCATTACAAGGACGAAGTTCTTGGACAAGTCATTCTCGCTATTTCTTATTAGCCTTTCCGAACGAGGATTTTTCGATTCCCATCAAATTCCTATCAAATTTTATTAATTAGAGCATAAAGTAACAAACGAAAAACGCTTACAATGTTTTTCGCACCAATTTTGGTATTTTTTTTATCCTAATATGATTACATAACAAATTTTACATAAAATATGTAATTTTATATGTACGAGCACAGCTGCCGAAATTACTTGCGTGAATTTTACGTGAGAAGCAAATCAGTTTATTATCGGCAGGATATTGTGTAATGTTAACGCTTGTATATTAATCCGATTCGCATAAGTCAACCAAGTGGAACGAAGGGTGTTACAAAGAGAACGGCAAAAGAGGGTCAAATTAGACGCACTGAAACTTAGGTCATTGAATACATAGATATTGTGAAATAGTTGGATGCAGGGATCGATATTATTTTAATTCGCTAATTTTAATTCGCTAATTTTAATTCGTTAATTTTAATTAATTTCAAGGTAATGGGTCTTCAGACTGGCCTTTACATCTATTTATAACTGAATTCATCCTGAGAGAATTAAAAATGATTAAATTTCCGATGTTATAAACACATTATTTTCCTTGTTCGTAAGAATAAACTGCCAATGACTAAGATATTTTATATCGCAAGATATATTTTGCACAGTGTAATAATATCAATTGCAAATTATTCCAATTATAGTATATTATTTTTATATGAGTTGCATGTATAATGCAGAAGATTTTATTCTAACGCTATCGACTTGTTTTCTATCAAATGTAAGCTCTTTTTATATAATTATTACAGCGTTATGACGCAAACGTTGAACTTCGATATTTAAAAAGTAATATGTACGCGTTTGCATATTCGTCTGCATATAAATAACATTGTCCTAGTCTGAGTTATGCACAAGGAACTATAATAATCTTTTATCAAATTTAATTATTAATTATCGGTATTTTTAGCTATTATTAAAAAAAAAAGGGATGAACATTGTTCCTAGGAGTTACGGATCTCTTTGTAAAGTTTACTCAAAAGAATCTCTCTTGTATCTAAAATTTTAATTTTTTGTTTTGTTATATTAATTGAAATAATAACAACTTACGAAATTGTTTCGAAGCTTTAGCTTCTCAATCCGTTCCGTACACAATAAAATTCTGAATTCCATGATCATACTCGTACCACGATCATTCCATGATTCTACTCGTACCGTCTGACGTGTCGGAATACCAAGACAGCTGATGACTCGCGGTAAGACGATTAAGTCCCGTTATCGTCGCGATAGCGATCGAACGATCTCACATTGTCATTCGCTCTCACATGACAAAAGTTTCCGCGCGCGCTCACTCGCAAGATTCCAGTTTTCTCGCGGTATATGTCGTTGCTTTCCTTGTTCAGTACGTGGCCGCGCTTTTCGTCCGCGAGCTCCGCTTTCGAGAGCAACGGGAGCCAGTCGGCGCACGCGAGCATAGCGTGAGTATCGCGCTATGGAACCCGAGTGCCGCGTTTCTCTTCCGCTCGGACGCGTCTCGTCCTAGCGGTCTTCTTCCTCTCGCCATGCGCTAACGGGTGTGTCTCTTCGCTCGTCCTATCGTCGCGTACACCAAGTGTCAGTTACGCGTCTGTGTGATTCGTGCCGGTTACTCCAAACACTCTTTACCGCATTTCTCGGCCTCTCACGTACGATTTTCGCAAATCCACCCGTTGTCGGCGATATTCTGAGAGATTTTCTTTTTTACCGGAATATAACGTAAGCAGATATTGGAATCTCGCTAGAATTTCGACGAGAGTTCGCATTTCTGTACTATAAGCACCGAAGAATTATATGTATATGTAGGCACATACATTTGCATATATGTTAGATGTACTTACAAGTGATAATGAAAATGTGACGAGGTGACGCGCAGTGCCGTTGCGTATTTATGGCACCGGAAATAGAGCTCATCGTCAATTTCAACGCCTGCTATCGTTAATTTCATTCTCCATAAATTGATGCAGGGATAAGTGTTCGCGAAGTTCGCGTACAAATTAGGTCATTGCGACTGTCACCGTTCTCTGTGGGCGCTAACCGTTATGAGTGCGGAAACCCGTCGGCGTGCTGACGTCGGCACTTGTAAGTTCTGGAAAATTGTTCAAATGACTTATTAATTGATTCGTTGGAACTCAGTAATTGCGACAGAGAAGTTTTTAATTGCTTTTTAATTAATTAATTTATCTTAATTTGTATATAATGATTTTCTCTGATCGACTCTTTTGCAAGATTTTGATACTTTTGGCGACGTGACTTAACAATTGTTTAGAATTTTTTGCTGTAAATGAACGATAAAAATAGTCTCAAATTGCAGTAACTTTAGTCTCGCTGTAACCTTGTTATAACCTAGCGATAAACGAAACTATTTTCTCAGTATTTTGCAAAGTTAATTGATGGCTCGTTGTTTACAGTAGAAAAAATAATCGAAAACACTTGCCAAATGGCGCCACTAAAAGTATAACATTGCGAAAAAATAGTGATCGAAGAAAATTATTATGCACAGAGAAATATAAATTTGATTTATTAATTTGCACTTTTTATTATTTATACTTTAGCGAAACGTGTACACAATATTTAACTGCACAAAGATTGATTTATCAAAATGGAAAGAAAAATCTACAAATCTTCTGCTGAGCTAATAAAGCGAGTTATACAAGTCGCGAACGCTAACTCTCTCATGTTGATTCGTTATCTTTCGAGTTTGCCTTTCATTGTTTGCGTAGAAAACAAATATGTGTTTAACTATTGAGTTGTTTAGCGTGAGATGTCGTGCTGATGCTTCCTTCGTTGCAAATAAATTCATCATTCCTTTGAATCGCGAATATTATTATCCACTTTTCTCCACGTTCGATTCTCGCGCTGAGCGAAATTTTGATGGATTTCCTGCGGTCGAAATAAATGAAACAACTCGTTTCTCGGCAATGCACATGTGTTGAACAGATTTTTTCAGGCTCAAAGTAGCTTGGATAATTACTCGTACGTCCGTACAATAACAGGATACCGCGAATAATAGGTTACCAAGAGGCGAGATTCCAAATGTGAGCACATATATAATATGTTGTATACACATATGTCTGGAGCAAATTTAACACGTCTGCGATTCCGTCTGACCGTGCCGACGCGGTTGATCAGACAGTTTCTCAAAAAATCTTTCGAAATACTCCTTCGGACTGTTAAATAAAACGCGCGCGGGGGAAGATACAGACCTGACGGCCTTAATTAAGTTTCTAGGACGAACTACGGACGTGGGATTGCAATTTCTATTTCGCGTTGTATTTCTTAGCCTGGCATTATTTATCTCGCAGTTTCTTAAATATATTTAAGTCTGCGGTAATAAATTGATATAATAATTTAAATAATTTACAAATATACTTTATACACGTTACTTTATTTGCTGCTAAAAAATTTAACGATTCAAACAGGTTTTTTAGCAATTCATCGCAATGGTTTTTTAGCAATTCATCGTAACGATTTTTTAGCAATTCATTCAATATGCTGCAAATTTTAATTGCTTCTCCGATATCGTGATTATTGCGACACACGAGTCATTGTGGTGGTCACAATATGATTTAATAACATCTGACCTTTCTCACCGAAGATCTGGTTATCTTCCGCGATAATTCCGCGGTTTATTGATTCGGGCTTCGGTGTGTTTTCATAGAAAACATCAACCAAATAGTGTCCTCGAAGTTTATTTATAATTGATCGTCAGTATAAATCTCACTTTATGAAAGTCGGGATGAAACCGGTTAGAACTGCGTCGTTTATAGCGAATCTTCTTTGATTAATGGTACTCTCACTATTAAAGCGATTCGATAGAAATAATGTTTAAAGGAAGCTACGTAATTTTGTAAATATAAATTTGACATCATTTATTTCAAAATCAATTTTATTTTCTAACAGGAAGTATATTTATTCTACATTATATTTTTAATCGGACAAAAGTGCAACGCGCTGGATTTACGTTGTTAACATTGGCGGTTTAATGAATCTCAGACTTCTATCGAACCATGCATTGAAGGCTGAAGCTTGCGAATTGGAAATCGATCAGAATCGATCAAGAGACAAAGTGGAGCAAGATTGAGATAATCTGATTGATGGAATTCTAATCTATAATTCGCAAATCTCAGTCTCCAATGTGTGATACTTGTATCAAATAGCACAAATTTTACTCGGTAAAAAATTTATTTCTTAATCGCCAACATCTTATGACATGAATATCAATTCTATTTAAATAATGGATGCGATTTTGCGATGTAAATATGATGGACAAGGACGCAGATCGCGATCTCTCGTTCTCGAGATGTTAAATAGATGAGACCAAGCGCGCTAATTGTAATTAGTCTATCGGGGATGCCCTGACCCTGACTAGCGCGACAGAATCGCGTCAGGCTTCTCTTCGCAAAATAGGCGATCGTATGCTGGACGGGTGCCACAACTCAAAGAGAGAATCTAAATAAAACTATCCGCTGGTCTCTCTCTCTGCTAACGGGACGACCACTTTGCGATCGGTAGATGCCATTCTATCGCGTCAGCTATTGCGCGATAAGTGCAAATATTTTGTTAGCTAATAAATGAATAATCACTCAAAAAAATGATCTTGCAATAATAGCTAAAATTTTCTAGGTGTAAAAAATTAACTAAAACAGATAAATGATTAGCAACTGTTGTGATATTGCATATGTAATTACTTAATCAGTTTAGATGACAGAAACAGAATATATATCTGTATTGTTTGTGAACTTTAAAAAGAAAGTTTCTCTAAAGCGCCTATCTATATAAGATCAATCACGTGTTAGATCATGCAATGAATAACATTTAGCAATGGTACCTAAATTTTTCAGAAGCTATTGCTAGAACATTACTGCTATAAATTCTATATGTGACAAACAATATTTTCACAGATACGAAAAATAGCGATACATTCTTGTTGCGATATCTAGAAATCTAACTACATCAGCGAAATATTTTTTTGAGTGATGCCCTTAAGAATGTGCGTGCGACATGTTTACGAAACGTTTACGTTGCTGAATATTTCTGCTATTTTAGAAATATTTTATATCCTTTGTATTTTTACTCACGCTCCTATCAAGTTGAGCGTTTTATTTCTTTCGGTCGCTCGCCAGATTTGTTATATGAGTAAGCAAACACAAGACTTCGATATAGAGACTTCGGGCGGAATGTAAGCAAATGTGAGAACGGAGAGTTAATAGAGCGTATCGGAATAAAATTTTATGGGCCACTGGTCTTGCTTAAATTACAATCTACATTCTGCAATGTGTCTAGACTCTTTTGTGGTCATTTTGTTATAAGATTTTAATAATTTTCATAATAGATAGATAAGTGTCCTTGATTTTCAGCAAATTTCTCGATAATCGTGCAGCACTCGGCGATTCTTTTATCATTATCTTTCCCGAACGTGACTTGATCCGTTTTTCAAGCGCATTTTTCAAGCACGCTGACGTAAAGTATTGTCTTAAAAAGAATAGCTCCATGAGATTCTATATACAACGTATTTATAGCTGCGTCTCGTCTTTCGTAACGTAATACTACGTTTACATAGCTCGGTAAAAAAATTATCTCGAAAATGATCATTCCGTGAAGTAATGTAGGATGTGAAATATAAGAAGTCTAATGCTCATGTATGCCATTGCGAAAAGTTACGATAATACAGTGTTTCGAAGATTGGAGAAGTAATAACGTATTTTCCCACTTTGCATGTGTCGGAGTAAATAATAGTATGCGACGTAAGTCTCATTTGCATCCGCACGTGTCCGTCAGAAAAGTCGTGCAATTTTCAGCAGAAAAATACATCTTGATATGATTTATTTGACGGTGTCATACACACGTAATCGCCTATTCAATATTCCATAACTGTTACAAGAAGTATGTGATGTCAGCTTAAACGTGTGTAGCTTTTAAACGTTGACGTTGACGTATGGATTTCGAGTGACGCAGACTTTGGAGAACATTAATTACTACATTAATTGATATCTCTGGGTTAATGTACTCATTTAACTAAATTGGACTATTTAACATGCAATAACACTTAGCATTTCATTGATGATACGATACGATACTATATTACCGATGCGGAATAATGATGAGTTGAAAATAAGCTTTTAATTGAAAGATGTTTCGTATTTTGTACTTTCATATAAAATTTCTCCACAGTAGCATCTTTTTTTATTTTTATTAATAGAAAGATAGATTGCTATATTCTGTAAGTAACAAATTAGATTGGCATTAATTAATTTTGCTATTAAAGCGCATGTTTAAAAAAACACAAAATCTGAGTAGGCATCATAAAATTTTATAAATTTTAGATCCTACTTTAAAAATAAAATTGTAGATATGTAGATGTAAAGTTATAATTTCAACAAATTTCTGAAAACTAACATAACATAAATTGAAAACGAATTTCGATAATATAACACTGGTTCTTTTTAAACAACACGTGTCGAATGCGACTTATTTTTATATTTGATTAGAATTGATTCATTGAATTGGTACGATTTATTTACTTAATTTGCGCTTCTGGATTTTATTTTTCAACAGCACGGAAAGATGGAATTTATACATCCATCCTTTTCATATTCCGACTAAAATGAGCCCTGGAAATTTTCTTAGAATGACATTCGTAATTTTCTATCTGTTTGTCTTGTCATAAGCAGAAGAGTGATGGATTTATTCGTTTTATTATTTTTTTGAAAAATCTCTTAAAGCGCATGCAGCATAATATCAATGATGTTTCGTAATCCGATCGAATTGTATAAGTTTAATGAGCATCGCGACAGGAACAATAAAAGTTCAAGGAACAATATGTTCACGTAATCATAACAACGCGCTGTAACCATTACGCTGATGTCAAAAATCGCTTCCTTCCTGGTCTTACAATTATACGAGATATCATCTTATCATTACTTCTCTACTTTTATTTTTAGTGTTCTGAAAATACGTACAAATACGTGTTTAAAATTACAAATCTTTACATGCTTGCTACTATATTATTTAAAGCACTGCGTGTTGCAAAAAACGAGTATAACGCTCAAAATTGCAAAAAGTGACCGCGACACTTTGCAAAAATTGTTACATATTGCAAAATTTTTTATTTTACATTGCTACATTTTTCACAACATGTACAATACATGCATAAAATGTTCATCGTCTTTGAAACATGCGAAATAGAAAATATGTAATAATCTCCGGCGCGAAAAACGCGAATAAAATAATTAATACAATTTATCATAAAAGAAGAAAATAATTACTTGAAAAACAAAGGTAATTCTCTTTGTCTATTTTTATCTTTCTATTGATATTCATTCTTTGTAGCAACCGAAGGATAAATTTGATGAACGGCGAGTGGAGGAAATTGGCACATCGCGGTTGTTTATTCGGAGATAAGCGCAAATGTATGCCGTTCTTATCTGCGTCGCATATAAATATGTTCCGCGAGTTATGCTACGATTACATACATATTATCCCATTCTTACGTGAATCGCAAGGATATTCCAACAGGAATATTCATCGCGGAGATGAAATCACCGGACGGATTCGCGCGCGCTTGAAACGACGCACCGACAGCGGATCTGTCGGCGTTCCTCGGTCGACTTCGGTTGCACCCGACAGCGTCGTGTCGCTTGCCGGCACCGCCGGTCGTGCTCGTTCATCAGTTCTCTTGTCGACGTCCCGCTGCGCTCGTTATCTGTCGCGAGTTTCTGTTGACGCGCGCACGTTAATTTGCGAACGCGCGATTAGCGCCGGAATTCGTTTTTCGCGACTCGCGCGAACATGGACAGATGATAAATCTGGTGTAAAGAAACGTGCATTGAGATAAGAGATTAAATCGCGAGTGGACCGATCTATCTCATCAGCATGGCTCTGCGGCGTTTATCAATCCGCGGCTTGAAAATGGTAATTTCTTTCTTTTGCTCGTTCCGAGTTTCTTTTTTTTTTTTTTTGCCATCCGCGCGCGCTAACGCGCGGCCTTGTTAATAATAATTTCCGCGTTATCACCGATCGCGATTGGAATCCCCCAACGTCGCGGCGGGTTCCTTCGGCCAAAACGGAGCGCAGTTTGCAAAGTGACCGATGATTCTATCTTGTCGCAGTGATTAACCGGTTTGCCGACGATCAATCGCGATTTAATTTCGTGCACGAGCCGCGACGGGAGGAGTTCGTACGTGGCGTTGTTCGGGCTTCTGTATTTTTAGGGATATTGGCACGGTGTTAATGCGCCAGTATTGGCGCTGATAATCGCGCACAGTGTCAACGCGACACTATCGTTATAGTTTTCACGAAAAAGCGGAAAACCCGCATCGCCCGGCTCGATTATTCGCGCTAGCCGCGAATCCGACGAGACTCTCGCCTCGCTTCTATGTTTGTCCTCCGCGGCCGATTTGCCGCCGCCGAGGCGGGAGGGTTACGTATATCGCGTTTTGTTATATATGTATGTTGCTACCAACAGTGGCGTAATCAACGGCGCGGGTCAAAGTGCCGAAGTCAGCAATGTCTGCGATACCGGGAAGAATAAAACGAGGGGAAAGCGGAAACGGGAAGAGAAAGAGGGAAAGAAATAGATATCGCTTGCATGCATTTGTGATATCGGTTGTTTCACTTTGCTCGCGCGTGTATTGTTAAAATTTATTATTGAGATTACGTATCAGTTCTGAAAAGACTGAATTAATTGGTTCTGATGTCTGAAGCGAAAGAGAGTTTTGAACCTCTCTGCGAATTGAAATTTCAATTACGCGACGAGAGAGTTGGGATGATAGCGCGAACACTAAGGACGATTATCACCGCGAGAGAATGTACAAACTGTTTTAAATGAATCTGCATTCCCCAAGACGATGAAACGTATTTGTAAACTATATGATTTGGATGTTGACTCACACGACGAAGATTAGTGTAAATTATATATTGTTTACAGGAAAGCGTTACGTTGGATCTTCTTTTTTCCTAACTATTTTTTCCTGTAATTCTGCACATTAAGAAAGATGGGCATACAGATAGATGCTTTAATCTTTAGTTGAATCAGAAGAAAAAAAAAGAAATTATCGCACGGACGTAATTTAACTTGATTAGCGATTTATTGAAGAGATAACAATTTGATTAAAAACCGTGATCGTGAAACTTTTAATAACTAATTTGAGAATATAAGATGATTAGAAAATATTCGAAATTTATTATTTTTTTAAATGAACGTTAAGATTTCAGATTCCGATTCGATAAATGATGCATTTATTACTTTGTGAGCTGTAAGATTAAGTATTTTACTTTACGTTTGTTATATTAATGTTTCGAATTTGATAGACATTCCAGTATTAGGATCACAATAAATTATCAGGAAAATTAAATAATTAAAGGAAAGTTCACATTTTTCTAACACAAAAATCTGTGTGCCTTGTATCTTGCTGCGACACTAATCATGCGCTAAGATCGACGATTCTTTTCAATGACGCTTTGACCCAGACATGCTTTCCGTGAAAGAACGTGCATAACATTTTCGACCTTGTGCGTGTTAAGCTCGGAATCTACCGGACGAGTGAGTCCCGAGCCAAACTTGGCTGCAAAATATATTTTTCTACTTTCGCGAAGCTTAGCTCGAGATTCAGCCGGAGGTTTGGCACACGAGGTTTGCCTTCAGTTTGATAATACGGACTTTAAACATACGCTTTTGGCCGACGGCGAGAATTCTTTAAGACATTCATTCACCGGCTTGCATTACGTCGCGCGGTGTCTTTGTGGGTTTTATATCGCTCCACCTGCTGCCACTGGCACGATCATCTGTGGCCGACAGTATGCGTACGTCTCGCATGAGCTGTTCAATTAATGCCCTCGTTAAAGCAAATCGAGCGGCGTGTCGCGTTTCGACGATGTGTCACATCGTCGATGAATCTCTCCGCTGCGTGCTTTTCGCGGTGTTACAGTTAGATAACGGCGGACGAAACTGATATTCGGGATAGAAATACTTCGGGAAGGCGTTTTCTTGCAACTTAACGTTTCATGAAACCGAAAAAGGAAAATCTGTTGTGCTTTGAGTCTGAGCAGTGATCTTATCTTTTACTTTCTTCCGAGCGCGTTCTATATTATTAAAGGGTATTAAGTTCAAAGAAGCGAAGATGAGAGTAAATTAAGACTGATGCGGGCGAAAGGAAGGAGAAATTCTCGAACTTTTCCACTAGGAAAGTTTTATGTATTAATGTCTATCATTGGACAAGATTGAAATTAATAGAGACATTATTAATCGACAAAATAAGAGACAACAAGTACAAATAAGTTAAAAATTATAATTTTGGCTCAAATTATTCAAATAAATTAATGAAAACAAGCTACAGAGCCCAAGCTGGATTTACGTGCTTAGTTTATTTACATCTTATAACAACCATTGTTTTTTTGATCAATTATAACAAATTATAAGGATCTAAACGTTTCGACCATTTGGTTGTGGTCATCTTCAGTAGTTACAATAATTATAAAATTTGGGGTCTGTAGCTTGTTTTCATTAAGTACAAATAATTTAAATGTGATTGAAGCACAATTTATACGATACATGATTTTTTTATTAATGAGTAGCATGCTTTGTGTATTAATATCGGTTCATCATAATTCGCAGAAATGGAGAAACTTTTATACAATACAGTTTTCACTTTGTCGCGCTTGGTGAACGGCTGTCTCTCCGTTCGACAGAACACGCTCCATTTGGCCAAAAGGCCGTTTCTCATTCATTCCATTTCTGTTGCAGCTCTGGACAGAGCCACGCAAGGATCAAGCCTGATGTCCGTATGGTCGACCAGCACCGGGCGCAATTCAGTATTTGGCACGGCGGAGAGCGGCGGAGCGGCGCTCGCCACTTCGCATTTGCCGCTCCACGTACACGTGGCTCACACACATCTGCGCAGCGCTGACGGCCACTGCTTTCACAAGCCTTACCACGAGCATTGTCAGGTCGGTAGATTTTTCCCTGTTGATCCTTCGCGGCAACAGGTAGTCTTCTCTTTCATCTATTCCGCGAAACGCGCTTCCTTCGCTCCGGATTTTTGTTGTTCTTCTTTGACATCTTGTCGCATTTATCGTTATAATTTTTGTTTCTTCGTCATCGGTTTGAGCTGATCGACGATGCTTTTTATTGTCATGTATCGCAGAATGACGGAGAAAGTCGAAAATATTCGATAGCAAATATTTTTCTGCTTTTCGTAAAATAGGTAATTTTAATTTCTGTATTTTTTGTAAAATAATTAATTATTGAAATACATATCGACGATCGTAGACTAGTTTACTATTTCACTTTTTTTGTTTTTTGTGTGCAAAAATCAAGAAATCGTCGTTTATCTAATTTTTCATTGAAAAAATTGGTAATTGAAGAAACGAATTAGCTTAAATAATTAAATCTGTTATATTTCCGTCCTGCTTTTACAAGAAACAGCTTTTCCATGTGTCTATCGTCTATCGTCATGTAAAATAATTCGTCAAAACATCTGTGAGCTTCCGTCAAATCTAATCGCTGCACAATTACACAAATCAAGGTTAATTAAGATCACTTTCCAGTCTGTGCGTTACGACGAAAAAGATTTTGTTCTGTTATCAAGGTGTTCCGATGCGTTGCGAGGAAACCGAAGAGTTCGTAAGATTATAAATAGAATCGTAAAGAGAGATATGCATTAGAAAATCCATGCATGACTTTTTGCATACGTAGAACTCTCTTCATAATACTTAAATAGATAAATGTTTTCCCCGAATAGCGCCTTGAAGCCGCTTAGAAGTAATCGTTCGACGCGACCGATCAATCGAGCGTCGATGCGATATCATCGACTTAATTGCGCTTAATTTCGTTCAATGAGCCACAAACGTGTGCGACGGCGCGTGCCTTTTAGAGAATTCTCTACTTATACTTGCCGATTGCACACGTCCGAATAACTATATCTATGCCTGTTGCATCTGGCTTCGAGTGCAATTAGTCGCATTATTCCTCATTCTACATGTTACGTACTAATACTCAGTTATTCGAACAGTCATTCGTAACGACAGCATTGTAATAGCATATTTTCCATTTTTTTTATTGCCGCAAAGATCACGTTAAGCTTTAAACTTTTACAATTTTCGACGCAAAACGCTTTGAAATATTAATTTTAAATATTACTATAATATATTTGTTTAATCGAAATTTCACACGATTGTCATTGCGATTGCGCGAAGCGTAATTTTATAGTTTATGATGTGAACATTAATCTTTCCTTATCACCTTTTATGTATTTAAAAGTGCTGCAAATATTAGTTCGTTAACTAACATTTTTATTCGCGATAAGAAAGCATCGCGCATGCACATTTTTTTTAGATATCGCATGCTTGATTGCTGCGAGCTCGGCAATTAACGATACACGTATCCGCATATATGACGTAAGATACTATGTTCGCATCATGCATGCTTCCTTTTTCCAGTTATTGGAATAATCTGCCTCGCCGTGCACGCCGATCGCACGTTCGTTTTAACCGAGATTATTATTCATAACAGAAAAAAAAATACCTGTCGGCAAAAGAAACGATAATCTGGAAAATTTACACCTCGAAGTGAAGTAAATATCTAACTAAGAGTGTGCTCGCGCATCAAGTTGTCAAAATACAGACGGGCTGAATAACACAATCACATCTTTTTCTCGCTGAGTGAGCAGACAAAAGATTGCTATCAAGTGACAAATGTATATGTTTCTTTCATTTGCTGATCGCTATTTCCGCGCTATAAGCTGTATCCGATATCGCGCGTATTATTAAACGTTTCACGTGGAGAAAGAAGGTGATATTGTATTTATATCGCACTTACATACGCAAATTTAAATTTGATCATCGCGCTTGGATGCGATAGTGTAGATTGCCAATCGGGAACGTTTGGACGCGATTCATTTTGCGCATTGCACTTCTCGCCGTCTATTTATAAACAAGGCGGTATTTTATATTGAAAATCTATGGTTCGAATCGCTTCGGGTCTCCTTATATATTTTGCACTCGCACCTTCGCGTCGATCCTTCGCATTAATCCAACTGTGTTCGCGATTTCATTTTACATCCCGGCCGAAAATTTTAGCCGCACGAGGATCGCCGATCGTGCGAATCGAATCGGGCAACATCGCCCGGCGAATGAAACATTCGTGCCTCTCTCATTAGTGCATGCGAAAACGCCGGGACTTCCCGAGACACGCGTGCGTGCGTGTGTTGCGCTTCGTTCCTCGCGCCCAGAACTTGGTTCCGCAAGGCGCACGCAACGCAGTCGATGCGAAACCGCCGCACGCGCTCCACGCTCTCACGTTTTTCATTAATTTTCCTTATTATTTTTTTGTTTCGTTCAGCACCAATTGGTTTTTTGTCCTACGCGGGACTTTTGGCAAGTTCTTCCGTTGGCACCGACGTTGCCATCGATCTCCGGTACGTGCCACTCTTTCTTTACTCGTGCTTAAGCTTTCACGGGGATTCAAACGCCTGATTGCCAAGATTAATATATCGCAGGCACTTTGGTCTCCCCCTTCTCTCTCCCTCCCCACCGGGCCTCTCTCCTCCGTGTGACAGTGAGGACGCGGTCCCTTTTCGCGCAAATCGCGCCCTTCCGCCCAGACCGAACTAATTTGCGTTCGTTCTGTTCGCCAGTCGACGATGTCGCAAGCCGGGGATGGCCTTCACACGCCGGGTTACTTGTCCTGGAGAAAACTGCAACTTAGCCGCGCGAAGCTCAAGGCGTCCAGTAAAACGTCAGCCCTGCTCTCCGGTTTCGCCATGGTAAGTCTATTATTACTAATACGATTTGTGTTACAGCGTCCGCCAAGTTTCATTAAGATTTTTTTATATATCAAAATGTTAGTCGGTGTCAAGTGTCTGTTGTTTGAGCTTTTGTCAAATTTTTATTGGAAATATTTCTTTAAAGATTTTGTTTTTGTGATTTGTCGATTTATTTTTTATTTCTTTTTAGTCTTTTTTCAAATTTAATAAGTAAAACTTGCGCCTTTCTCTATGAGTACGGAATATTGAAAAGTTTATACAATAAGTACATTTATTCTAAATTTGTATATAGAAAATGTTTCGTTTCTGTCTGGAAATTTAATCGAAAATGCTTAGAGAATTGTTTACCAGATTTTAGTAAAATTTTTGTATTCAAAGTTACTCATAAATTAATATATTTTTGCGAAGAATATTCAATTATTCATGTGAGATTTGTCATCACTTATATATGCGAAAGTAAAAATTCTGATCAATCGAAGGCAAGAAACGGATACTAATTATTATTGAATTATGCAAAAATTCGAACATTTATCTCTCTTTCAAATATTATACAATTAAAAAAAAAGTACCTGAATATGTATAGAATATATTTATTTAAATATTTCAAGTAAAAAAAAAGAGATAGCAATTTAAAAAATTATATTTTCCAGCGAATTCTTTTTTAATCGACATTTTTAATTTACATCGCAGTTAGATATTTGCAGAACCAGTCACGGAATCCTTAATATATACGAATGATAATTCACGACGGATAAGCACACCGAGACAATGGTTAATCGTTATCCGCAGGTTGCCATGGTGGAGGTGCAGCTGAATTCCGACACGCAGGTTCCACCGGAGATGCTGATCGCCTTCGCGGTGTGCACGACATTGCTGGTAGCCGTTCACATGCTGGCGCTGATGATATCCACGTGTATACTGCCGAACATCGAGGCCGTCTGCAATCTGCACAGCATAAGCCTCGTCCACGAGTCGCCGCACGAGCGTCTGCACTGGTACATCGAGATCGCGTGGGCGTTCTCCACGCTGCTGGGACTGCTACTGTTCCTGCTGGAGATCGCGATACTCTGCTGGGTGAAATTCTACGATTTCTCGCAGGTGGCCGCCTGGTCCGCCTGCATAGTGCTGATACCGGTTTTGATAATCTTCCTCGCGTTCGCGATACACTTCTACCGGAGTCTGGTCGCGCACAAGTACGAGGTGACGGTATCTGGCATACGGGAGCTCGAGTTGCTCAAGGAACAGATCGAGTCCACGGACGTAGAGGGCAGAAACGGCGTGAATCTCTTGCCTCAGACCGGCGTGGCGCATGTCGTTTGAACCGGCAGCCTCGATCCTCCCCGTCGGCGGGATTAAATTCATGTTTAAGAAAGGGAGACGCTTCGCGGCGAAGGAGATCTGTTTTCGTAAGAAGAGAGAACAATGACTGCTTGCGGTGTTTTTCTTTTCCTTCCCGAGAATCCTGTTAGAAAACGCTCTTTCGAGCATAAATTACTCGCGGAATACATGACAGAACGACCGTCTCTCTTCGTACACGTCGCCGCACGCGCGCTACAGGACGCAGTCGACAAATGAGATCTTCCTCTTTTTATACGCATGTTTTCTGTGATGTAAATCATTATAAGCGCGACGAAACTTGATTTATGACGCGTGCGCTATGGAAGTATCGTGTCGATTTTGAGGAGAGAGATGAAAGGGAGGGAGATCGTTCGATATACGTCGTTGTACATAATAAACACATTCCTTCATTCGCGTTGCGACTTAAACGTAGGAAGAATAATATGCTTTAAGGACATATCGAGACTCGCGCATGCCGCCACAGAATGATAGCTGGAATTATCTTTTATTGAAAGGTCACGCGATTGGCTGTTGCAGTTAAATTTACATATATGCAGTTAAATGTACTTATTTTTTCAGAGAAATGTTCATAAAACCAATCAACACGACCAACGTTTCTTAAATATTTTGACGAATTGTCAGACACGTTTGTTGTTAATTACGCCGTCACGGCGTATAGAAAGTCTTTTTTGAGATACAAGCACAGATTTAACTCGCGGTGATTTTCCCTTACAATCGATCTTTCAGTGCGTAAGTACATTACTCTCAGTAATACTTCGTATACTACGACTGCCATGAGAAACGAAAAGTACGCGGCGGACTACATGACTTTGCGGGTTAACTTACATCCATCTCGATGGATCAAGGATAAAAATCATCGTCAGGAAGATATATGTCTAATTATTATTTGTATATACTTTTAAGCGCGCGTTGACGCTGATAATTGATGGCTGATGCGATTGCCAGAATAAAAAGTATAAAATCGTACGCACGCATTGCATCTTATTTCCACGTTCGTAAAAGCGCAGACTTGTCAATATGAAACATGTATGGCCAAATCGATTGTAAGAAGACGCAAATCAGACGTGACGCAATGCACTTATAAGTGTAGCATCGCTCGACTGTTTAACCTTGAAATAAGGAGTGGTAAGGTATAAAGATATAAATCTAACTGTCGGCTGATTGTTGATGTATTGTTCACAGACGTCATTCTCCCAACGATCTTCCTATACCTTGAGTGTTGGCTAAGTGGTGGAACACATCCCTGACCTTTCTTCTTGCCATTTATATACCGATCCTTGTAAAGATTATCACTTCCTATGAAGATTTTAAGATGTGCATAAGCGCTTCAATAAGGGCTGTATTGGCGGAGCTCAAAATTGAGAACTTTAGAAGGATTAGATTGTTCTTATCTTTATTTTTGCGGTGAGATGCGTTTTATTTTTTAATTATGTCAATTTAATTTTTAGTTTCGTACTTTAATTAATATATAAGAATATTAAGAATATAATATTTTTATTTTTATTATAATATTGATTTAATTTCATTCTAGGATAGAATTTAATTCACATCATATCATTCTAGGAAGATATAGGGGACACTAAATTTTACAACTTGACATAGCAATTTGGCATATCAAGAAAGTTATTTTTATCTCATCAGATTTTTATTTGGCTCTTAATAATCGCAGAGAAAACATAATTTTTCATTTCATGTGTACTATCGACACTTCATAAATCAATGTAAGTACTTAATTCTATCTTTTAATACATTTTACAAAATTATCTATATACAAAAAGATATGAATATGCTAGGATAATATCATATCATATCATTACAATAGAATTATGTGTGTACTTTTGATACAATAAATTGAGAAAATTTTAATTTTTACATTTTAATAGAAATTTTTAAGATTTAAATTCATATCATTCTAGGAAGATATAGGGGACACTAAATTTTACAACTTGACATAGCAATTTGGCATATCAAGAAAGTTATTTTTATCTCATCAGATTTTTATTTGGCTCTTAATAATCGCAGAGAAAACATAATTTTTCATTTCATGTGTACTATCGACACTTCATAAATCAATGTAAGTACTTAATTCTATCTTTTAATACATTTTACAAAATTATCTATATACAAAAAGATATGAATATGCTAGGATAATATCATATCATATCATTACAATAGAATTATGTGTGTACTTTTGATACAATAAATTGAGAAAATTTTAATTTTTTACATTTTAATAGAAATTTTTAAGATTTAAATTAAAAAACGTTGGTATTTATATTGTTTTTCCAAGTGACTGCTATTCCACTATGAGTGCGCATGCGCGGTCATGCGCAGTATTGGTTTTATCTACACGGGTGACGGGTAATTGCGTATATGTGAGAAGTAAATACTGATCAACACATCTCAGTGATCGCTTCCCATCTCGTAAAACAAAAGGAGCGCGAATATTACAGGATTTGTCGTGTGTTTATGATGAATAGTACTGTTCACGTGCCGAATATGAACACAATCCCGTTGGATTCGACGATAACAGTTGAAGATTCGGAGCCAGAAATGATTGATCTGGATTCAAGTCCCGATAACGAATTACTTGTCTCGACAACAGTGCAATATGCAATTCAGAGAAGACTGAGTATTTAACTACGGACGACGTTGACGCTATTAACGAAATGACGACTCATTCATCCAGCGATATGCAGTCGAACGATGAAACTTTGCGGCCTGCTTTTAAGGTTATGTTTCGCGATGAAAAGACTGCGAGGTACGAAATTATTATACGTCCTATGCTTTGTTTACAACGCGCGCGCACGCGGGAAATTTTTTTAGAAATATGATCTGTTATCCGACGAAAACTATGTCCTATGCTTGATAATATTTGATTAATATGAAGGTAAAAATTAGATAGCTAAAAAGGAATGTCAAATCTTTGGGTTTGATAAATGTCAAAATAAAATATATTGAAAGGATGTCAAAGTGTAAACTACTGATTAAAATTCTATACTTAGTGCGTATTAATATCAAATTTTTGGACATACTATATAGTTTTTTAATGCTTTTATTTATTTGAATCTTTCTGTAATTTAAGTTTGTTGTTTACCATGTTTTCTATTGTCTGTGTCAGAAGAATATATTTTTCTTTTGTTGATTGAGTTGAAGATTTGGTTTCAATATATTATATTGAATATATTAGATTGAAATATTTCTAAATTTTATATATTTATTTAGAAGTTATAAACCAAAACTATAACACAGATCATTTTTTTTATAAAATAGTATTTAATATATGAATTAAATTATTAAAACAATCTGTTATGTAATTTGTGAATTTATGAATTTCATGTATTTGCAGACAATATCGACGACAAATAAGAGAGTTTTTGCACACTTTAGTGCAATCGGATCCATCTCAAAAGGAAGATGTAAATGAATCAAGTTTGATTTTAGAAATTTGGGATAACAGAAATAATTCCAAAGATCAAGAATCATTTATGGAAAGTAATAGTGAACCGAATGACACAATGCAAAGCGATGATACTTGCGATTTATTGTTTACGATTGATAAACAACCAAATGTAAAGAATAATTTGGACATCCCAAAATATGGACAAGTATGTCACTTTTTTTTATTATATACAAATTTTTCTTAATTATTAAATGCAGTAATAAATAACTTTGTCATTCTGTAAGTGCTACTATAAACTTTATTATGTCTTACTTTAAAAGTGAGAGAATTTTCATTCCTTTTTTTTTACATTTATTATTTGTATATCTTAAACAATATTGTTCTCATCTTAGAAATATAAGGGTACATTTGAGGAATCAAACTCTGAAACGTCAAAAGATCTCGCTCCAAAATTAAATTGCTTCAATTGTAATGGAAATCATAATATGCGAGAATGTCCGTTGCCTAAAAATCAAGCCAATATTAATAAGAATCGTAAAGAATTTGTTGCAAAGTATACAGGAGTACGATATCATATGAGCGAGGATCAGAGGTTTAGTCATATGATTCCTGGTCAGTTGAGCCCAAAACTACGAAAGGCTTTAGGACTGAAAGACAATCAACTACCTAGGCACATATATAGGTATATTAATTACGTAATCCATTGGATTTGGCAGGAGGGACTAGCTCTTTCTATTGCTCAAATCGACATTTGTATTTATTTCTATTATTTGTCATTGTTTTTTCAAATTATTTACTATCGCTCTTTTGCAACAAGTTGACTTGACGGTGTTTTATATTTTCTTTCTATAACTGGGTGAATGTTTGAGCAAAAAACATGAGAAAATATTCAATTTTCAATGAGATTCTCTACGAATTCAAAACTTTTTTTTTGTTAGAATGAGAATGTTTGGCTACCCACCAGGCTGGTTGGAAGAAGCACGCTTACAACATTCTGGAATATCACTGTTCAATTCTGATGGGGTAGCTGAGGCAGACCCGAATCAGGAAGAAGGAGAAATTATTACGGAGATAGATAAAGATCAATATGACATGAAAAAGATATATGACTTTCCTGGTTTTAATGTACTACCTGCTCCTAATATGATTGATGTAAGTAGTTGCTAGCACAAGTGTATAATTGATCTTAAATATCAAATCTAACAATAGCTTACAAGTTTATATATCGCGTTTATGTATGTAACCTTTGTTGCTTCAGCTTAGCTTACAAGTTTATATATTTTATAAATGTTTACAAAGTTAAAAATATTTTATGTCGTTGATTTTTTAACTTTTGTTCTAATTATTTTTTATTATATTGTTGATCGTAGGACAGCCACAAGCAGTGTAGGATACCACAAATGCAACCAATGCACAGTAAGGAGATAATGTTATCATACTTGAAAGGTAAAAAGGCAGACGATGGTTACAAACGGAAGAAGTTGGTGTTACCTCCACCAGTAATGAATATTCCGTCAACGCTCGGTGACATGGAAATAGATGACCTCGAAGGTACGCCAAAATAACACGAAAAATTTTACATTATTATAGAAGAATAATTTCATGAAAAATAATAAGAGTGATTTTAACGCGAATAAATTTATTTCGTTAATCTTTCTTAAAATATAAGTAACTTTTTTATTTAATTGAAACAGAAGGTGCCGTGGATAATGTGTCTGTTAATGGACATTTCATACCACCGTTACCCAAGGAATTGGTGGAGACGTTGCCAGCACCATTGCCGCCACCGCCACCGCCACCACCACTACCACCACCAGCGGCAACAGCAGCAACATCATCATCATCAGAAGCATTTCAATCAACAACGGAAGATTCAGACTCGCAATTGCGAGAATTGTCCCCAGTTGATTCTACAGTATGTCTTTAAATATAATGCGACACTTTCCTTAGACATCTCAACTAATGTCGTTTCTTTTTTCAGTACACATCCTTGACTATAAATTCGCCATCACTGTCTGACTTGGAATATGTGAAAAAGGAGCTACTTAGAGAACTTGAACATGCAAATTCGCAGTCCAATAGCGGTTTCACGTCGTTGAAAACTGATTCAAATGCCACATTTGTGTCAGATAACTCATTTTCCGATACAGTGACTACATCCCATTGCACATCGCGCGAATCTTTAAACACAAGTCAAGACTCGGTGAAGAACTGTCTTGACGAGTCATTCAACAGCGATTTGAACGTGTCGCCTTCCCACATAGCGACTACTTCAACTCCTGCGCAAAAATCTTCGCATCAATCTTCCATTAAGTCGGTGCACTTAGGTACACCACTACTGTCAAGTGCATCCCCGTATAATAAATTGCCGTCGTCGGAAAAATTTTCCAAAAACATTAGCAACCTTATCAACTTCGAGAACTTACCTGACTCAACAGGTAAATATGAACAGATGACAGGTGTCTTACAAAAAGTTAGAAATACCATGGCAAGACTGAATCAAGAAACATAAATAGACAATTTACGGAGAGATTGATAGCGTTCCGTAAGCATCGATTGACTATTTATACACATGATCTTTCGGGAGAGAAATATTTATGATCACTAAAATTGGTGTGAAATCAAAATTAAAATTGATTAAAGTGGGTAAATTAAGAAGTATTCTTCCTTATTTTTTTCTCTTTAATTCAAGCTGAAAGAAAACACTTGCAAATATATAGGATTGATATCCTATTGTAAATAGATATTTTGGAGTCTAAAAGTGTAATGTAAGACATATGTGTTCATTGATGATGATATCTAGAGAACAGATATCTCAAACAGCACCGTCCGCGGACCGAATCGTAGTCCATTAACGGACCATAATGGAATATTTTATTTTTTTATATATGGATTGTCTCATTATATGTATCGAGAACGTATTTTTGTTTATTAAATTCCCAAGTACACCTTATTCGAAATTGTGAAGAAATCTCTATAAATTTGCATTATAATAAGATGCTTTCGGATAAAAATTTAGTATCATTAAAACATCTTAATGATTTATTATAAATCTATAAATGACGTATAGAGCACGATATTTTATGCATCGATGTATAATATAGGTATAATTCATTCAATGTATCACATTGTATATATACATGCACACATACCTATGTGTGTGTAAAAACAACGTAAATTGTTGTCTTTTCAAAAGTACAAAATATAGACAGGTTTTCGTTACATAATCACTGTTAAAGAAAATTGTAAATATTTATTTTATTTTTACAATATCTTTATAAGTCGATTTTTTTTTGCTTAATTTTAGTCAAACGCGATACATATATCTTGTACATATTGAAAAGAAATGAAATATTAATCTGTGATCTGTGATAAGTAATACATATTTGAAAACGCATGTTGTGATGAACTAAAGTCATAAAATTCATGAACAATTTATCGATTAAACTATCGAGTATCAGTTTAAATTGCTAAATTTGAGATCACAGAGCATAATGTGTAAATATATTCAAGTCCCACATTTCACTACAATGATTAATTTATAATAATTTTCATTGGACACAATGATAATTTTTGCATAAATAATTTAATTTTCCTCATCAGAAACATGATCTACGAATGTTTCAGTGAATATTGTCAACCAGCATTTTTCTTATACATATATTATATAAATATGCTAATTTTGCTAGGGATATAATTTCGATTCAGAAATGTATATGGATCATTTCCGAAGTAATAATAATAAATTGTACAATTAACATGACTCATAAATAGTAATTCTGCTGTTTTGTCTGCTACGATAAAGTTGAATATATTAATATTGTACAAAAATAGCTATAGCATTTTTATCTAAAATAAAATTATTTTGTAATGATAATAAAGATGTACTATAAAGAACCATGTTTCATGTAAAAATATCTCATATTCTCATTATATTTCACATAACATCAATTTTTTTTAAAAACTTTCTTCAAAGCATATATTGTATATTATTTACTATTCGCATTAATTTAAAAAAAAAAGTAGAAATCTTGCAATGTGGAGAAATGTTTTATTATCGAAAATATGGGGAATGTACATTATTGAATAACATTGTTATTGGTATAAAACATTTAATCATAGACCATATTCATTATGCGAAAGTCGCGAAGTACTATTAATATAACTGTTATTTGTGTATAATCACGATATCTTCTGTTCTTCAGATTTGCGCAAAACGTTTACAAGATATTTGCACTTTGAGTAATATCGAAATGATTATAAAACTGTGTATAAATATTTTAATCTTTCTCCGTGAACAGTAAAAATTAAATTTGTAAATATTAATTTCGTGTAACGCTAAAAAATGAAAAAATGTGTTCCCATATTTTTTTATTACATTCATGTTATAGAAAAAGACAAATTATAAATAGCTTGAACCACATAGATCCCAAACTATTGATTATCATGATTTATTTTATAATAGATAACTGCACATTCGGTAATCATACGTGAATGTTTCTTTGACGCGGTGAATTACTTTTTGTAATTCTGAGTAGATTCGAATTATTCTCTTATGGTTTCCATATTAAATATAAATACCTCCTTTATATGACTATCCATTCGCAGGTACTTAAACTTTTTATCGTCTTTAATAACAGATTTTTAATAATAGATGTTTTTAATAAAGATGAACTATGTTCAAGTATAATACATCTTTATTATCACACAAGCAGGTATTATCTTATTAACCTTCGACTAGTCACATTATTTTTATCATTACACAGTTGTATTCTTAGTATCTTCTCCGTACAGATTTTAAAATCTTTAAATATTATTGTTCAATTTTTAGTCTTACTGGGTCATATACGTTATATGAAGAAAATAAAATCATTATATTCAATATGTGTCAAGAAAAAGCAGTTTTATCAACTTATAAAGAAAATACTATGTGCAATTTCGAGACTCTATTTGCCTATCCAAAGTTTATATTTTATAAAATAATTACAACATTTATAAACATCTGATTAGAATGTTATGAATATACAATATGAGATATGAAAAAACGTTTTGAAGTCGTGATAGTATTCGTAAAAAGGAATAAAAAAATATTATAAAAACGTTGTTTTAAAGTTCATGTGTCTGGTCGATGGTTAATAATAACTTATTCATCCATTACCTGCCGTCATCCGCTAGTTTCGACGAACACGTCAGAGTAAAGAATACTAGAGATTTCATATTAATGATGTAATCGTTAAATCACTATTTCGAAAAATTGTAATATTTTATACTATCCGTAGACAAATCTACGCACATAATACTCGTAGAAAGAATCTAAAGAAAAAAATTATATATATATATATATATATATATTATGTCATATAAAATAATCGCATGTGTGTAGGAAATTATACTTCCAGAAATTCGATTGATATAACTCGCTAACGCGTATATTACAAGATAATCGTCAACATCGCGTCTACCATAACTTTCCCCTATTTCTACAATTTTAGCGCAGATCCTGGTATAAAACTTCAAATAACAAGATCTCCCTGTGATGCCATTTACACTTTAATTCACGGTCGGTGGCGATGGATCGTCGTGCGAATCCTGTAAATAAGTACCGTTTGAGATATGCGTCTAAGTTTAATGAGAGAAAATTAATATACTCACGGGCTCGTTGCTGTTTTTAGTAATGTTCCTGCTCGGCTGTCGCAAAGATCTCGGTCTAAATGCATACATGAGAACGAGGAAGGCAATAACGAACCAAGCAAAGACAAAGTCTGACGATTCACTATGAACATTCGGCGGTGGTCCTGGAACTGAAAAGAAACGTAAGGCATTTTTTCCCAAATTAATATGTTAAATGTATTTACTTCTAATGTGTGTGGGTGGAATATTATTGTTATATAACTTGTGATCAATATCTTAAATCCATATTTTTCCTCTACTTTTTAGTTCTGGAAAAACAAAATTAATCGATGCTGATAAAATCAGTTAACTTAACTTAACATGATTGAGATATTTATTATAATTACAAGTATTTATCAGAGTATATAGTAAACATACTTCTCGACACACTGAAGCACTCGGTTTCCGTACAATAATCCTGCGATTGTCGTAACTAAAACAATAATACAGTTTACGGTGAAATATGTCTTTCGCGCGCAAAATACCGCACGGCAAAATAAATAACTCATTTCGTTCAAGCATTTCACAGATCTTGCAAATAAGTATTTCAGGAAACTACAATACATAGTAAATCGCGAATGTTGCCACAAAGATCCGTTGTTGTTTAGTTACATAAATACATGCATTGATACGTTTGCGTCCCGTAAAAGCAACGCTTCTGCGGACTCTGATCACATTTTAAATGGAAATACTTTTTACGCTTGTTTAATTCGCATTAAGATTCGAACGAGTTTATCCGACAGCAAGACAAGTCTTATTTTTTTTTTTTTTGCAAGAGTCTATAATTTAGGAGTCCTCATATTCGATTCATGTAACGTATCATGCACCAGCAATTGACTTACGTAATTCAAACATTTTTATGTAACTGCGTGGCGCAAGAAATTTCTGTCAGCTAAACAGAAGAGGTCATTTCGTTACAAATTATTCAAGTGAAGAAACCTCGTTATTATTTTGGCTTAAGAGACCTAAATGTTCGGGGAAAAAAAATATCCCCCGTTATTCGCGCGCGGCTTTTATCGCGACGACACCGATCGCGACTCGCGTTGCCTCTCGCGCAACTTACAATAGAAAGTAGATGCTGCACAGACAGATGATTCCACATGCATTCGCATGGGTCGAATCCTTCGTCGCTCATCTTGATAGGTTTTTCGCAGAATCTGCCACTGCGCACAAGAAATTTTTATTTAGTACAATCTGGTATATCAATTCTTTGCCGCGAGTATACTGCGTTTCTGCGCCGCGCGCGATCAACTTTTTGTTGATCATCAATTATTTGCAATTTTACGCTGCATGTTTTTTTTTTGTTTTAACATTGATTACTTTCATGAATATTAACGTGACATGAAATATTACGCGATACCGCGATACCGCGAAAAATAAAATATTTACCAAGAAATATATATGTTTTAATAACTTCTAGATTTATTTTGCAGAATTTAACACATGTGTATAATTATATAAAATTATTAATCATTTTAAAACATAAATTAAATATTGAATGGCATTTTAGGAAGTATGCGAAATGCAAACAATTTCATTAATTGCATTTTGATAAGGTTTATTTTTTGGATACTTTACGTGAAATATTAAAGAAACTACATGGTTTCAGTTCGCATGACAAATATTTTTGCATACAAGTCCAAGTCTAATCTGAAATGGAATGTTCTTACTATTTTCATCACTTCGAGGATATCCTGCATATCGCGCGGATAATTACGAGGGAGAAAGGAAATTCCTGATTTCTTATCGTCAATCACACGTAACACACATGCAATTATACTGTAAGATATCTTACAGTATGCGATAAGTTATCGGTGTAACTATTAAGAATTCGTAATAAAATATCTCAAAATAAATATAAAGATAATAAAGGAATTCAAAAATGTTCACCGTTTTTTGTCCCACACACATGCACTATAATGTTGCTCACATTTTATGAATCATGCGCGAAATTTGCTCGAGTAACAGTGATATCACAATATTCTGTTTTCATTTCCAATGTTTATTTATTTGGCAAGATAATACTTTGTCTGGTGCGAAAGCAGAATATTTGTCCGCCTTTACCCGACAAAATGCGGAAATGTTTGAAATATACCGTTGAACCTGATCTTTTCACATTTTTCAAATCAAAATAAAAATCTCTTGTAAATTGTAGATCTCAAAATTAGATATCTTTAAAGCGTTGCTCTTTATTGTAATATTTTTATGTGCTTTGCGAGCGTTTAAAAATTTACGAGAAACTTTAAATCGCGAAAATATTATAAATTGTAAGAAAAGTGTACCTTCATATATTATGAACATCAATATTTACACATTGCGATACACAATATTAGAATTATAAAAAGAATGACCAATAGGGAGAATCTTTATCAATTAAGGATCGTTAAATGAACGTGTGAACGTTCGCTAATGATATCATTGAATTAAATAGCAGCACAATGCGAAAATTCGTGACGATCGTCACAATAACATTCTCGCATATGCGAATCGAATGTGTCGAAATCTCGCCAGCACGAATCGTACAGTCACAATAAAAAAAACCTAAATGAGAAAACAGACGGTTGGTCGAAAGGATCGCAGTGGCGTGTGTCGCGTCGTAATTTTCCACGGACAATCTCCGCGTTTCTTCCACATGTACCGCAACTTCACATCAAACCGCAACCGATTTCCAAGCAAGACCAAAAAAAAAAGCAAAAAGTTTATCCGTATGGCGACACGATGCGCGTTACACTCCGGCAATAGGAGCGTGAAACGCGCTGCGAGATTGTATAATAAAGAACCGACGACGATACGCTCGCTCGAAACAACTCGCTCGCAATTTGTCACGTTGACATTACGTCGTGACACAAAAAAAGGAACACATTATTCGGTATGATTGACGATGATTCTATTAAAGGGGCAGGGTATCGCTGTCGAGATGGATATACTCACCGTAACGAGGAGACACCGGACGGACGGAAAAGTGAATTACGACTGCGTAACGCGAGACGGCACGACGGCACTACGAAACGTTTTGGATGTTGCGCCACTATAACGCCCGAACTGTTCCAGCCATTACGGTTGTCGTCCTCGGTCGCGTTGCGTCCGAAGTGTGCTAGCAGCCGTGCAATCGTAGTCGAACGGGATTGGCGAGCGGTCTTCCGTTTTCCAGGCTTGCCACTTGGCGCGCTCATTTCAAACTCGTGAAACGCATCTGAACAATCAATTTGTTTTTATTGTTATTCAGATGCTGGAAAATGCATTTTAAAAAGTTGTCGCAACTAACAATTTTATTCCTTTTTGTTTACAGGAGGAAAACGATTCCATCGATGGCTGGAAAAAATTAACGCACCTTATAAGGATACTTTTCTAACTTATCTTAAGAAAACTTTATAAAATTATTTAAGAATTGATAATACAATGGTAAGTTGATGATTATCATTAATTCTATTACGATTGTACGTTTATATTAATAGAAAATATTTAAATTTCAGGTTGTCGAAGATTATTTTCAACTTCCTGGAGTATTTATGCCCATTTTATGGAACCTGAATAAATTATTTAGCAAAAGGTAATGTGACAAATAATTAAAGAATAAGAAAATATTTGCATATACGCATATATGTATGTGCGAGCAATGGCAATTGTTTTTTCTCATTACTATTACAAATACAATGCATTATCTCAATGTATTGCTAAACATGAGATAAAGAATGTTATTTAAGCATTATATATATAAATAATAATGCTTGGTTTTTTTAATACTAATAAAATGTTCACATTTTATACAATCCACAAATCGTTTATAAAAATAATGTAATAATTGCGGGAGACATACAACTTTCGATACATTTGTTTGATTAGAGGCTAATTACTCGAAGAGCGAGTAAAAAGTTACAAATACAATGCATGATAGACACAGCTTTAAAATATTAAATATGTAACATTGCGCGCCGCGCAGAATTTCTCGCCCGAAGACGGCGCGCGCGTAGCGATTGCACCACGTGACCGCGGCGCGTATATACGCGTGGACAGGCGCTAAAATTCGCCACTTACTCTTTCGATCGTTTGCGACGAGGTTCTTCTGTTTTGTGCCAGGAAAGGATACTATCAGATCACCGATTGCACCTCTCATATCTCAAACTCTTCTTTTTATCATCACAGTCAGTTTCCCACGTAACCCTCGGCCCGTGCTAGATTGATTCCGTGCGATCGAGAGGGAACGAAAAGATAAAAATTCACGATCTTCATCTTGAAACTAGACATGCGTCCCCTCCGTCTGAAGTAAGTCGCGACAAGCATGTAACCGTGCTACTCCAAGCCAGTCTCCAATCGCGTCCTTCGATTCGCTTCTTGCATGAGCAGGCTCGCGTCGGAATGCGCGATTTCGCGCCGCGAGTAGAACATTCCGTCTGAGCGATCGAGAGCCGCAAGCGGGAGAGCCGCGGCGACCGATCGCACGCGCGCGTCTTTGAAAATCGCCGGGATTCTCCGCCGGCGCGACGCGCAAGGAGTATCGCGGAGGGATTTCGAAAGAGAGTCACCGGACGCCTTTGGGGTTGGCGGAACGAGAAAGGCAAGAAGGGAAAGGCAAGGGACGACGACGCGCTAACACGGGGATGGGTCTGACGGATACCAGTTTCGAGTTGCTTTTGACCCTGTGGCGAGTCTTCGTCGCGGGAGTTCTGCCGTGGAACGTGGAGTCGTGTGGTCAGTGTCGCGGTGCCTCACCGAGCTGCAACATTCACGGCGACGCCGTCGCTCGTTAGTCGTCCTCGGCGCGATACTCGGTAAGTACACGCATCTCGCACGTATCTCGTTACGTCGCCGTTCCAAGCTCCGATCTAAGCTCCATCGTATAAAATCAAAGCCAAGGACGAGCCCGTTGTTTCCGTATCGATAACGCGTTCGTAGCGTTCGGTCGGTGATTTTAATTCTTTTATCGTTCTTTTCGCTTTTTCCTTTAATGTGCATAGTTTTTCTTCGCATAATTGTATGTAGTGCAGGACACAATAGTCGTACTTTGAACAGTAATTGCTATTTCAAATTGGCGTCATAAATTGGTGAATAATGTCATGAAAGTGTGAGAATTTATTTTTTTGTTTTGTTTTTGTACTTATTTTATATTTGTCAGTTTTTTTAACGTCATAATATAATTTCTAGATTTCTTTGGAAGTCACAATATTTCCAAATCTGTCCGTATACTTTCAATGGATTGTAAAATCAAACTCTGATACTAAATTCTTCAGAAGCTTCACAAGCACATTTGTGCTTCTCGTTCAAATAACTTCTATTTTATTATAAATCGATTATTTTTGAATATTTTTAATTTATTTATTAATGTTTCGTTGAACACTATATTTAAGCACGAAAAATTTCTTATGTAATGATTATCGTTTTATAAATTATTTTCCTATAATTTTTTCATTAATTTGAATCTTAATCATTTTTGTGAATAATTTAAAACTTTGATGAAAAGAAGACTTTTTGCGGAATGAAAAAGTTTTAATGCAAGTGAATTTTACTTCTTCAAAATTTTAATTCAAAGTTTAGCTTTATTAAAACATTCATTATTTTATTTAAAAAATAAGATTGAATACATTGGAAACTTGTACACAATTCTAGATACGTTTTCAATTTTTCTTGAGCAAAAGTAAATTTTATATCCATCAGAATGCAATTGAAATTGAAAACGGGATTTTGTGCTACATAAATGTGCACTTGAAAGCATAAACGTTTATATTTAAGATTAGTTAATTTAAAGCAACACTTATTTCACGTGGAGGATTTCACATTCGTTGGTTAATATTAAAAATCAAGAAAAACTATTGTGTGTTATGACGCTATCATCAGAAAGAACTTTAATCGATCGGGCAATATCGATCGCGTATCGTCCTAATATATGATAATAATGAGAATTTTAAAGGATAGAGAATCAAAATGCGCGTCAACGAAGTTTTCATTCATTCATTCAAACCAGTTTCGATAATAAATGCATTCTTATATCGCGCGAACTGCTTTTTTTACTGCGCGTTTTTTTACGAAAGGAAATTAACATTAGAAGTGAAGACGTATTTCTCGTTATGAAGCGTCATCACGCGATGCACTGATGTTTGAGCGATCGCTCGAGAAGATCGAATGTCAGATTCAAGGATTTAATCGCCGGTTAAAGGAAGTCTCACAAATTTAGCAGGAAATTCGCGGTGTAGAAAATTCCCCACCCTGTCCCGTCCACCAATTTCTTCGAAACTGTGCGCGCTCGACCGATCCTCTTTCCCACTATCGATATATTCTCGCCGACCACGCGTTTGCATGTCATTATCTAAATACTTAAAATCGGAAGACGACACACGCTCGCGCGAAGTAGTCAGTTCACCGTCGTTCGCCTCACTCGATCAACCGGCTCCAACGATCGGCGGTATTTCGGGTTTTCCCTGCGTTGAAGAAGTTGGTGAAGTAAACGGCCCTTGCATAGTCAGAAAGACTGTCGCGCTAGGTCCTTTTTTTTCGTATCTCACGAATCCTAGATCGTTAAATGCAGTGAATCTTTCCATTACTACGCACAACTTTAGCAAATCTTTTATTTTTATTTTCCAATGAAGACAGAAGTAACATTTATATCTTTCAATTTGCATAATTTTCAACGCAGAATATTTATCTAACGTTTATTATATCTTTGATATATAAAAATTAAAAAATATTGTGATTAGTATTTCTTTAAGAATGTGTGTGCGAAATGTGTGAAGAAATAAGTGTTATTTTCGAAATTTTTCTCGTTGTAGATGATTGGATGGAAATTGTATGGAAATTTGAAGGAAACTTTTATGCTTATATTTTTCCTTGTGAAATATTCTTTATGAAATGCTTCCTATGAAGATGTTTTGCGGCAGAAACGTTAATAAAGATTAATTATTCGTATTGCGCGCATTTCGCGGTTTATTTTAGTGACGCGTATCATCTTTCTAAATAGTGAGAAATCTAGTCATTAGCTTATGTGTTCGTCTTTGTTTACGCCAATACGTTATAGACGTTGGAGATCCTTAAGTGAATTCTCTTAAATTAAGCAAACGCACGCGAACAACGTGGAATTGCAATTGCCGAAGTTGTGACAAGTGTTGTGTAAGGAAGACGCGATTCTTTTGTAATTTTGTGCATCTATCACACGCTTAGCATTGAAAGAAAACATGTGTTATTGTCAAAAAAATATTATGCTAATTATATTATTGTTAAAAGAATAATATTATAATAGTATTTATTTGCATTTATAATGGATAGGTATTTGCGCATACTGAGATTTCTCAAAACATTAATAGATTTGATTGCATTCTAGAAGTAATTATTATTTGTTTTATGTATTTAGATGCATAATAATCTTTGCTTAAATAATTGGAGATTGAACTTTATTTATATGCCAACTCGCACGCAGATGTCTGATATATTTTTTAACCAATTACATATATCAAATGACGATTTCTTTCTAAATTCTACTATTAAGAGTCGAAGAAGTATATTTATACATGAATATTATTTCATGCTCAGAATCTCTGTCGTTTAGACGACGAGTATTAAATCGGAAATTAGTTTTGACAGCGTTTCAACATTTCCTTCGTCAACGTAAATACTTTTCAGCAATTGAATAAATTATAATAATTATACAAAATATTCGATGCATGAAAGTTTCGAGTCGCGTGTGTCTAGGAGCCGCGTTCTTTGAAAACCGCAGCAGAGTAGTAGAGTGGAATGAATCAGTGATTGTCTAATCAGTAGTGCTAGGTAATTAAACTTCTTTGATAACTAAGCGTATTTAAATGTTAAAGCCAATATATCGATAATCTTCTTTGAGAGTTGCGCAACGCAAAATTGATAGATATCGAAAGCAGAATATAAATATATAAATATGTAAGAAAATTATTACAACTGCTTTTAATAAGTACATTTCACAATTTAATACTGAGAATATTTGTGGCGGTTATATAATGGAGTTTTACGTTCACATATTTCTTGAAAAAATACATCACCTTATTTGTCTCAGCTAAAGTATCTCAGCATAAAAATATAAGCATAAAAATAGACTCATCGGTTTTTCCTGACGTACTTGTGTACTGATATTTATTTCACATGTAACTTTTTTAGAATATAGAGTTGGGTGGATATAGTGGGTGGTTTTATTTAAATGATTGAGATAACGCCTCGATATTGTGATTTCTTCGCACATTTCCATTCGGAAAAAATGTCACGCAACCTTTCTTTCAACGTTCCGTTTTGATTCATAATCAGTTATTATCCGCAAAAGGTATTTAATAATAAGTGACTGTGCAAGCAGCTGGAGAGTCTTGTTCAGTGTCATCTTAATATACGAGTACTTGTGTGCGGTGTATTAATGTTTAGTTTCTTGTTAGTGAAATGGGAAGACACAAGCGTAATTCTGCACAAAGAGAGCTAATCCCCAATTTGTTTCACAAAATCTTGTCCGGGAAGAAAAGAGAACAGAATTTGCAAAAATTAGACGAAAGTTCGCTTCTTTTTTTACACAAATCTTTTCTTTGAGCTATATATTGCAACTTCCTTTATAATTTTCTTGAACTATTAATAGAACAAAAATTTTTTTATAATAAAAAATCTAGATATCTTAAGATGCAACATATTAGCACAAAGATTACGGTGTGTTCAGTGCAGCAGAAATAACGCGAGTGTCAAAAAGAAGATTAAGATTTTTACGGCGAACGATTCACGTTGCGGTTTTCTCGTCTATTCTTATGTGCATTCGCAGGCGTACATGTATTACATGTAAGCGATTTCTTATTTTTATTTCTCGATTGCGGTTGCATATATTAATTCGTCAGTTTCTTGAAAATTGATTCGGAAAATACTCTCAGCGGGAAAAGAGTACAATATTCGCGTGAGCATGATAGCTCCAGTAGGAATACATCAACATAATTCGATTTCCAAAGAATATTGTTTTTGCCGTTCTTCCTTCTCTTGCTTCTGCTTCATTCATTATCCCTGCTATAACTAGTTTCGGAACACTCATTAGTGATCAACGATGTCTTGGATGAAAGTTGTCGTTCACGTGTTTCGGGAAGAAAGATTTTAGAACGGTTATACATTTAATTCTTCCGCACAAGAAAATTTCTAATTATTGAAACGGATAGATTTGACTTTATTATTGTTAAATAATTTAATATTTTCGTTTGAAAATAATTTTCACACACGTGCTATTAATCTTGTTTGAAAAGTATTGTTGGAATTTTCACGATTATTCAAAATATTTATTAATAACTTATTGTTAAAACAAAATACACGACAATCTAGTAAAGGATTATTTTATAGTTATGCAGTAATTAAAAATTGATTTTTATTTTCATAGACAAAAATTCAACAGTACTATTTTATATGATTAACCAAATTGCAGCAATCGTAGCAATTGCGGCAATTTTATAATTAACAAAATTGCAGCATAGATTTCTGCAATCAATAATGCTTGATCGATCAATCGTCCACTGCATTTGCTATTATTAATATATTTGTGACAAATGTTTATTATATAAATTTTCTGAGCACTACTACTTTTAAATTTCAGAACGCTTTGATTAAAAATGGATTAAATGACAATTTTTGAAAAGGCAACATCTCACTGTCATGTCCCTCTCTAGACTTCGATTGATTGATTTGCGAGTTTATTCAATCGATCAGATCATATTTCCTTTCATTAATCAATTCATATTTTCCTTTTGTAATCTATGAATCCTGTCAGGTCGTCTTCAACGAAACCGGTTCTTCGTTGTCATGACGGAGGCAAGAACGAACGATCGCGCCCGCGGCTGACGGCCAGCGCGATTTTTCGTCATCATTCATCTTCGCGTCGGCTCGCGCTCGCGCTCGTAGGTGTCTCCGCAACCGCCGAATATCAATTAACCAGGTCGGTCTGCGTGGATAAGCGTGGATCAGTGCGCGTGACAGAAAACCCCTCGTCGAGTGGCCCCTCGAGGCCGGATCGCCCGCGATCGCCTTTGAAATATACCGCTGTTTGACCGGTACCCGTCACGGGGTACAATGAGGCTCGTTGGGGGTTGAGCGTTGTCGCCTGAAGGGCTATCGATAACTTGTCGTCACCAAATTACACGCGCCCGCGCCGCGCCGCACACCGCGCACGCGACGCGCTCACACACGTATACATATATAACGTCCGCGAATAATAATATAATAACGACATACGCGTACGTATCGTATCGCCGATTTCCTTTCCACCGCGTTATCCTGTCCGCTCGCCCCCCCCCTCCCCTCTCTTCTATTTTCACCTGATACCGCCTTCCTTTTGCCTCGGCTCCTTTCACTCCTCGCGACCTTGCGCGTAATTTCGCGCGCAATAAGCGCGCACAGATTTATTTGCACTCGGCGATCCGCAGCGTTACGGTTACGTGCTTGTGTCGATCGGTTGGCACATAGATTAATATCCGTTTTAATTTTTCTGATTTTATCCAGCGGAGGAATTGAACGGTGCTATTTTATTCATTTTTCTCCCCCCTCTTTCTTCGCATATTACGCTTTCAGACGAGAGACAATACATTTCTAATATGTATACGATTAATTTTTTTTAAATATTATTTTGTGCAGCCTTATTTTAAAAAATGATTAAAAATGGTATTTTTTCCAGTGCCGAATTCGAATGACGACGCGCGACAAAAATAATTTCTACATATTTCGACACGCAAAACAACTTCACGTGACATCAAACTTCTGATATCACAATATATACGTAGTTATTTAGAATCCAAAAACCACAAGGTAGAAAGTCTCAAATAAGAAGCAATGTAACATTTATCTTTAGAAATGCATTATTGATGAGAATGACGCAAGGCGCAGCCTATATTGCCGAATACAAAGTGTTCTCACGGTATTATGCTATCTAATTATGCGGATAATAAATTATTAATAGCTCTCTTTCGCTAATACGCATCGCATAAATTCTCGCCTAAATCACCAGTGTAAGGATGCAAGTGTCCCCTTCTTCGCTGCACTGTTTCGCGCAAGGAGCCTCACGTAATCACACCGCTGTTTTACAGGTACCCGAAAGATGTCGTCGACGGTGGTGAAAAATCTCGCGAAGGACGGCAACGGCGGCGACGGCAGGGAAACGTGGTCCGGAAAGCTCGATTTCCTGCTGTCGGTTATCGGCTTCGCCGTCGACCTCGCCAATGTGTGGCGGTTCCCGTACCTTTGCTACAAGAACGGTGGTGGTAAGTGCGGACTCTCTGCTCGCGCGCGGGCCGCCGCGCGATTTCCGCGCGGTTTATTTTCGATTATTTCGCGCGAGTCGAGTGCTTTTCTCTGTCATTGACGGGACGCGGTGGCGCGAGGAATATGATTTCAATAATCCGCTTTTTCATACCCCCTCCTGCGCCCCCGCTACCCCATTCCACCCCCCCTCCCCTTCCGCGCTTATCAGCGTTTGTTGCGGAATGACAAGCTACAGTTTTGCCTAAGCAAATTTTTTTTTCTTCCAACGTTCCTTCTTGAATCGCGATTTTCCGCATCGCTGATCGCGCTTTATGTCGCGAGAAAAAAGAAGTAGAAAAAATTACCTCGTGAGATAACGGTAATTGGTTTCATTCGCGTCAACTGAGTTTCATTGCGATTTAAATAATCCTCACGCGTCTCTAATTGTGAGAAAAGTTGGCTAACTCGATGCTAATTGATGTCGCGCCTTGATAAGAAACGCTGACCGGAGTCAACTGTTGCCGCGCTTATGTATAATTATCTTTACAGAATCGCGTTAATTATACATACATGCTTTTAATTTGTTTTTTATCTCACGTAATAGCGGCGATGAATTTGATTGGGAATTACTTCTTCGACGCTCGCGTCATTGCCGCGGCCACGTGTCGTTCTCAATGTTTACACTTCAGAGGTGTATCTTGGTTGATTGTAAATTGATTTCGTTTCCATCCTTGACATTCTCGTCGTTTTCTTTCACAAATTCACGCTCTCGCGTAACAGGCACTCCCACGTGCATCTCGCTCATTCGACACTCCCGTCGCGAAACTTCGTCAACGGCACGTATAACATCATCGGACGTTATTTCGCAGTTAACTTCGGGGGTTGGGCGCTACGCGTCGTCGCGTAATGTATTTCAGCAGGCGAGCAATACCGCGCGCTAACCGGTTGGCTAATTGGCATTTACCTCGCGGAAAATGACCTCGGGATTTAGACCTCGCTCGGCAAAGATTCTCGGCGGCGAAGGAGAGAGAGAGAGAGAGAGAGAGAGAGAGAGCGAGCGAAAGAGAGCGCACGCGCCTGCAGGTGTCCAAATTGGTTATAATTAAAGAGAAGGAGCAATTTGCAGGACGTCGAGTAAATCGTAGAGCACATAATGATATTAACCCTTTTTCACGCGGGCGAGTGCGAAGTAATTCAAATTACGTGGTCGTCGCTTCAATTGCTTCTGCGCGAAACCGCTCGGTTCTCTTAGCGGGATGGATCTCAATTGAGAGCGTTTCTCTAAAAAAGCGAAAACGATTATGATTAGACATCGTGTCACGTGTCACGTTTCGTTTGCCTGATACCTCTCGGTTACCGTGGATTGCAGCACAATCGCGCTGTCCGCCGCTTTGCGGATGCGAATTTCGCAAATAATTAATGCATCGTGTGCGCACTGTTTTATTACATTCCGCGCGCCAATATTATGCGCCGAATTTGCATAACAGGTCTCGAGATAATGAGAGGGCGATTTGCGAATTAATATTTACAGCTGTCGGAACAAGTCGCTTGTCATCCTCTTCGTCTCGCAGCGAACCCACGCAAGGCGAAGAACCGCGCAGCGACGGACTCGCCAGACAGAAGGGAGAGCACGTATTGAATAATAATTTGAAACGCGCGACAGTATCTTCGCTTACTTTTAATAGCGCATAATCTTAACGCTGTGAATGTGTCGTATATTGTTAGGGCGATTAAACGAGATTATCGCGCACAAGTCGCCTGTAAGCGATGTCAAAGATATTTTCGATGTCATTGACACGTTAAGTTATCACATCTGTAATTGGTGTTAAAATAGTACCGACGAAATGCAATAATAACAACCAAGGGCAGTCGGAAATAAATCGCAATGAATGAATCGTTCGGCATATTATTCGGAAGAACGCGACATTTGTTGGGAAGATAATCTCGCGATCTTCTCGAGATCGCAAGGTGCAATAGTTATCAATTTCAAATTTTACGATTTTCCTTATTGTTAGTAAAAATTCCTTCAAGTGGTTCTGGCATTTCAAAATTAAAAAGTGTTTTAGTATGTTTTAATACCAGAATCTGAAATTAAAATCCCGTAAGATTAAAAGTTAAATTGATCCAAAATTGCGTGAAAAGTTATTCGGCTGCAGCCTAGTTTTGCGAAAGTTAATCTTTGACGTTAAATAACTTTTAAAGATCGGCTTGAATTTCGAGAGAAGGGAATCTATTAAGAACGAGGAAATAAAGTCGCGGTCTTTCAGCTGCGTTCTTCGCAGACCACGTGACAGCGCGCTCTGCGTTCGAATTGACATAAATCTCTCGATTATCATACCGAAACCTTGATTTTGCCGCACGCGCGAGATCTTCCGCTCTTGAGATCGATCCTCCCGCGCTCGAGGCACGATCCGGGGAAACGCTCGGCAATCTTATTGACTTTTGCTAAGCTCGCGCTGTGGCAACGGCGACGACGACGACGGCGACGACGCCATTAGTAGCCGACTCTATCGAGTCCCCAGTAGGAATGCGATTAGGGCCGCTGTCAGTGATACAGAGGCTCCTCAAAAGCGGCTGCCAACTCAATTAAGAGCGGAGTAGAGCGCGCGGCTCCGCGCCATTAGGATGGGCAAGATCGGTCGCTAATTTCCAATTACCTTAATTAATTATAATTTCCCATTCGGGACGAGCCTTTGATCATGGACGTGCGCGACGCCGCCGCTCCACCCCACCGTACGGCGGCTGCGTCGTTATCGCTCTACGGGGGGGGCGCTATTAACGTGTTGTTTCGTGATTATAATTCAGAGCAGCGTGCACGTATCGCATGTATCGTCATGCATCGGCTGCCTACCGTTCATATTTGGCACCTCGACAACGGTACATTGTCCGCGCGACGACGCACGTGTGCGTAACGCGGCGCGATCCCTCCGCGACGGGCAAGCCGAAACGAATCTCGGAAGTTTCATCGAAATCGCAGAAATTGTTCGGGAAAATTCAAATTGCGTTGCAATTTAACATACGATTAACATTTATGCTTCTGAACATCTATCTGCGCACTTCAATAGGTCGAATATGTTGGATTGAATGATTTTTCATCTAATCACGGCACTTGTAAAGTAGCAATGCGCACGTCTTTCCGTTGAAATAATAAAATTATGCTAAAGGCAAACGCAGGATGCTTATTCGTTGAATATTCATCGCATTTGCGGGGCTCGTCGCGCGTGTTTGTTTAGTTTACGTGCGACGCGCGCCTGTTGCGCGTTTTCCTCGTTTGAGATTCATAGAATCCGTCTGCATTTCGTTATCATTATCTTACGGAAATTTTTATCTGCATAAGTCTCACGTGAATTATCCTGTTTTCCCGTTTGGTCAAACGCACACGATTCCCGATTATCGAGAAGTGACGTCTCTGCGTTTGAATAATACAAGCGCTACTCCTCGATGCTAATTGAAATTCTAGACCGGTTTGAATGCATCGATACAGATTACTCAATCGACAAGAATCGAGTGATCTTACGCAATGTTACTTATAAGGAAACTCATTGTCTGAGACTTGGCGCTTTTTATGCAGCTCGTGCCTTATAATTTGTTGTCGGCGCAGTATCGAATTGTTACAACGCTGAATATAATTTATCGCCGAAGAGAATAACAGATCTGACACATGTATTCTCAAAAGATTTATGATTAGCGCGAAAAGTTGGTTAGTGAATTAATTTTGTAGTTATATTTTATTTTTAAATAAATTTTAAATATATAATTAATATTTTTACTAAATTCGAGGTTTATTATTGAGAGAATTTTTCAGAAAAATCGATTTTTAAAGTTGAATGCATTACGAATTGTTGTAATATTTATTATAAATTTCTACTCTTATTATTATGTCTCTTATTTCTTCGAGATTCCTATTTTGTTGAGATGCTGGTCGAATTTACTTAATCGACGACATCAACACTAACGGGTCGACCTAGAGCTCTCGCGCATCTTTCTGTAAAAGCGCACTTCGATCGACGGAGTACAATTGGCGCGATTATCTCGCGAGAATGCATTACGTTTTATTCGAACGAGCTCTTCGTCTTTGTTCGGGCGTAAAATGCAGCTTTAAGCACTAAGCCTTTGCGTGAGTGCATGCCCGCGTTCAAAGGGAGAAAATTAAGCGGAACTGTTATCCGAGGCCGGACGTTTGCTCTCGACGTTAGCGGCACGTCAAGGGAGAAGAAAGAAGGGTGCGCTCTAGATCTGGGATGGATTTTTGTCAGATCTTCGACGTTTCGTTATTTCCTCGAAGAATGAATTTGAAAAAAAGGAAAATAAAAGGCAGACATCAAGTACAGAAAAATATACCTACATAATTGTTTGCGCAAGAAACTAAAGTTTAGAAGAATTTTGAAAATTGAATAAAATATTCTTGGGATGTATTGCAAAAATGTGAAATTGAACGTTGAAAATCGGCTCGCTATTTTGGATATTGACAATTTGTAACTAATTTTTCGCGTAATGAAACCAGTAACACCGGTGACGAGCAGTCAACTTAAGAGAATGTGATATTTAATACGATCGATCAACGATTTGTAGATCTCTGCCGTAGCGCGGACGAAAGGGGGGGAGGAAATTAATCAAGGTTACTCAACGACAATATCTTTCTTAATGCGATTACATCTCCATGGAGACGGAACGGAAGTTCCATCGGAGCTAAGAAGGAAGATCAAGGAAATAAGCAGTAATAGCCTTATTCTTCTCTTTTTGATCGCCTTTTACTCTGTCATTTATTTATGCGGCGCGAGAGCAGTAGTGATTATAATTTCACATCAACGTTTTCTTCACAAATTCTTCGACAAAGGTCTTTGCAACGAAAAGTTGAACAATGACTGTGATATAAATTATTTCTTTCTATAAAAAAAGTTATTAATATTGAGCGATAATGCTATGCATATTTAATATATAAATATGTTTAAATATTTATGTCTTCTTGATATTTCAAATTTTTCTCTTCCTTTTTAGATATAAATTTTTTTTATGGATTTATATATTTCAAACATTTTTGAAAAATAGGGAAAGATATTACGCGATATTAAGTGAGGGCGCTAACAATTCTAAACATTTGGCAATTTTTTTAAGTATTTAAAAAATCTTCAATCATGCACACATAAAGAAATGACTGAAAAATGATTACTTTTGTATAAAATATATTGATTCGCGATTGCTACCTGATCCCGTCTTTTCAGAAAGCCGCTGGATTTTGCGAATTCGATTGGTATTATATAAAGGGACTTGGTGTATAGACGGAAAGACAACACACACGCCGCTCAGTGAAAAAATGCGATATATGACGCACTCATACCAGCGGGTTAGTTCCATAACTGCATTGTGCGTTATTTAGAGCACCGGTAGCGAGGTGCTTTTAGGCACGTAATTCGATAGTCAACTTTCGGAAATGCGGCAAGGTGACATTAACACCGTGACGCGACTGAGTCGATCGTCGGGCCAACGGGAGAACTGTGAACTCTTTTCCAAAAATGCGTGCGATAATTTTGGAAAAGTCTTTCTACTTACGAGTGCGCGAGGCTTCGCGGACGTTAGAACGGACGAGTCGGTCACTCGGGACGTTGTGATAAAGCCTCCGATGTCCATTTCTCGCTTAGATACATGCATTAGCGATGTCTAATTAAGATTCTGTATTGCGTTACGGTAACGTTATTAAGTGAAACAATTTTCAATTACTTCGCAGGCGTAATTAGATTAAAAAACCTTGACTCTCAATTTTTCGATATGGAATTCGCAACTTAAATTAATTGCATTTAAGCAGGGTGTGCGTATTTTAAAATCGCATTGCAATACTAATAATTCTTTAATAGTTTTTTTTTACGACTTTTCGTTCTCCAATTTGTTTCGCCTTTTATCTTCTTCCCTCTTTTGTAACGCACAACTCTTTTTCGGACATCTTTTCTCGCTCTTTCGCCGCTTCCCAGGTCGCACAATAGGCTTTTGTCTTAAGATTCAAGATTTTCCGCAAGAGCTTTGCTCCCAGATGGACAGTGGAATAATCGGATCTCGCTTGATCGACTTACGTCAAGAAGTTGGACTACGGTGATCAGATAAAATCGCATTATTATGATTCAATATTAATTGAGGATGCTAATAATGCCCGAAGGTTAGCGCTCGATCAATTGTTGCGTCGATGACTGTTCCAAGGGAAATCTACAATACAATATAGAGCTAATAAAATAAACCAGACGAAAAAAACGCAGGGAATTTTAGGACATTTTTGCTGACGCGATTAACAGTTTGGTTGTAAGAAAAGAAATTGAAAAACACTGCGCTGTTTGGAAATCATTGCCGAGACCGTTCGAAGCTTGATTTATTCATTTTTAGTTTTGCAATCGATTGTCCTGCGAGAGAAACCGAGCGTATGTATCATTGTAATCGGATTTCTTCATATTCACAGGCGCATTTCTCGTCCCCTACTGCGTGATGCTGGTGGTCGGCGGTATTCCTCTGTTCTACATGGAGCTTGCGCTCGGTCAGTTCAACAGGAAGGGTGCTATCACGTGCTGGGGTCGACTGGTACCGCTCTTCAAAGGCAAGTACAGTTAGATGTTACAAAGATGTGCGCCCGCAGGCAAATATGGACAAGGAAAAAAACTACAGAAATACAGAAATAACAGATTTCTAGTTGGTGAAAGTGAAATAAATCACCGATTTTTGCAATCTGCGATAAAAAATCCGTCGGCGATACATATTACATATTTAATCAAAATTGAGTGCTCAAATTAAAGTGTAATGAAATGCGTTGTCATTATCAACGATATAATTGTACTATAAATTTAGCCAAGTATCAATTTATGAAAATTATCAATCCTGGCTTGATTTTTCCTGAAAAAATTCCAGGATTCTAGACGTCAACTCTACACTTCTAATTTTCCAGTTAACAAAAAATCCCAGTTAAAATTTATTGAACATTAACAAATCTCGCCATTCATATTTATTACAGTTTTGCACTGGTTTCGCTATTTCTTTCGCCACATCTATAAAGTTTATGCTCCTCGCGGCAATTTCGCAACGACGATTGGCCGTTGAATTTACTCGCATGCCGGCCGTGCGTGGTGGATTTACGACGCATAGATCTCTGACGGTGCGAAGATTATGAGTGGGGGGAAAAAAAAAGAAAAATATAAGTATTTCGCGCGCGTAGCGAACCGCGAGTCGTCTGGGAAAAATCTCGAAGGTTTAAGAGCCGTAACGGCTCTCTTTACTCTCATTATATTCTCCCCGCGCCGTTTCTTTCCTCGCGAGGTGGGATATTGGTATTCAGAGCCGGCTGGCCTCTCGCCTCTCTATCCGAGACTCGTCGGACTTTTCCTTTTTTCCAGCTCTGGTAGGAGAAAATCGTGGCGGCGGTGACAATCGCTTCGGCGCGCGCGAAGCGAAATCCGGCAATGTCCGTCGCCACGCGCTCTTAGCCTCTAATAAAGCGGGAGTAGCGGGTTCTGTATAGAGCGCAGATGTGCGAGCACACATATAATCGGCACATATATCTTCGGCGCGGCCTCGTCGTGGAATCGTCGTGGATATGGCCGCGGTTACTTTATGCGACGCGTATAAATCCGAGGGAATCGCGCGGCGGACGCGCGCACAGCGGGATGCGAGAAGCGACGACGGTTGCTCTCTCCGCGCAAAGAGCCTCCATTTCCGCCGATTTCCAACTTCATTTCCACGGCCACAATTTCGTCCCGCCCGCCCGCCCGTCCGCCCGTCCGCTCGCTGATCGCCGTGTGATCGATCGTGCGAGATCCTCCGCCGCGACGCGATTCTGCGCCACGCGGCAGATAGACACCCGTTGTACGTACGATCGCGCACGGAAGGTCATGATGACATTTGCATAGGAAATGCGCAGATAAAGAGATATCGCTACGAGGAAAAACAAATGCATTTTTCTTACTCCCGCACGCACGCTTCATGTTGCCGCGCTAATCCGTTTAGACGTTTAGAGATATCGATGCTTGTACTATAAAATTGTTATGTGAGTCATTAATAATAAGCGGCAATTATGATTCCAGATAATAAAATTATAGTTTCTTGACAATATCAACGTTTGAAACTTGATTATTTTTACACGATTATTCTTTTTGAATAGCGAGATCGATTGAACGCAATTATTATTTTACATCGACTTTTTCAGAGAGAATCATGCAAGAATTAATATCTTTTTTTTTTGAAGAAAAAGAAGGAAAGTTTTATCATTGTGCTTACAGTCAATTAAAAACGTTCCACGTGTGAAAATATAAGTTGTTCCGGATCAGGTATCGGATACGCGGTCGTCCTGATCGCATTTTACGTCGATTTCTACTACAACGTGATCATCGCCTGGTCGCTTCGCTACTTCTTCGCGTCGTTCTCCACGATGTTGCCGTGGACCACCTGCGATAACCCCTGGAATACGCCGCTGTGCCGCGAGTTCGACGCGAACATCTCGAACTTTGAGGATGTGGTGACCAGCGAGGTGAACAGGAATTTTGGAAATGTCACCCGGTTTTTGGACGGAGAATCGGATCTCGCCGTTGCTCAGAGTGTGGCGGACAACCATACGAGCGCTGCGCATGAATACTTCAAGTGAGCGACGCTTCGATGCTTTATCTCGATATTTCCATTTGTAAAAAAATGTTTCACATGAACGTTTAACATCGATAAAAAAATTAACAAAATATTAACCTGTGTTTAATATCAAAAAATAGACCAAAAAAACGAGCTCTGTAAAATTCAAACTAATTGATCACAGATTGTTAAATGTTAGTTAGTCTTGAATTGACGTAAGATCTGATTGCAAGATCTCCGTGTGCATTACAAAACTTTTTCCCCTAAGTCGCGCTATCCTGGAGCTGCACCAGAGCGAGGGCTTGCACGATCTCGGCGCCATTAAGTGGGACATCGCGCTGTGCTTGCTCGTGGTCTATCTGGTCTGCTACTTTTCTCTGTGGAAGGGCATCTCGACTTCCGGCAAGGTGAGCTGAATGCCTCGTCGGGGATTAGGGATCGCGAAGATGAGGGGATGATTTCCACATGGCTTTGACTTTCCGCGAGTGCTTCAGAATCTACAGCGAACCGCTGTACATCTATCAAACAGAGCCGCTGAGCATCACTACGTACATAATTTTTTCGTTGCAGGTGGTTTGGTTCACCGCTCTTTTCCCTTACGCAGTGCTGCTGATTCTGCTGATAAGAGGCGTCACTCTGCCGGGCAGCGCCGAAGGAATTCGCTATTACCTCAGTCCAAATTTCACTGCTATCACAAAGGCGGAGGTAAGTGCCTGTATGCGACATTTGAATACTTGGAGGTGATTTTCGGCAAGAGTTCAACTCATTTATCGCGTTCTTTTCGAAATAAACATGTTTTATTGTAAATTTTTGCGCTGCAAGCCATCTCTGCGCTTTGATTCCTATAATCTTTTCTTTATTAGATTTTTTATTTTATTGCGATTAAAGTAAGAGACGATAAAGAGACAAAATTGATTGACAAGGAATTAATAATTGAATAAATAGTTGGAAGCGATTTACAAGCGATGCTGTTTAGTTATCGCACAACTAAATCACGTGATTGATGGTAAAAAATAATACCCTCAAACCACATAATACGCTGCGAAGGGCATAAGCGTGTTGCAAAAAAGGAACATTATCCTTCCGTAACGAGATATTGATAAATTTTTCGCGACACAGGCGCAGGATTTTTGAATAAAATCAGCGGGAGAAAAGTATATCGGTCCGGCGATCGCTTTATCGGTGACCCAGATTGCCATGAGCCACGACGTATTCGCGACAAAAGGAGAAAACTTCGGGAGTTAATGCGTTTACAGGCCGGCGAGGGGCCGGGAGCGGAAGCGGCGCGGCGGCGGACGGACACGGTGACCCGCGGGTATGGGAAAAATGGGGTAGGAGGAACGTGCAGGGTTAACTGACGACGGTGAAAATGGAAACTCTGTGTAGCTGTCATAATGAACATTAGAGTTCGGCCGAGCACGCGCCGGCACGTTGGAACGCGCCCGCTCGACCCTCTATCGGTCCGCTCCGCGCGCGAAATGCATTTCGCCGACTTTAGCCGCCTTAGCCATCGTCGCTAAAGTGGGTTTTATAACAGTGAGAAAGTGGATTTGTTGATCATCGCTAATCCCCGGATATACGACAGGGCCGGGTTGATGTATGGACCGCGCTCTCCGCTTTCTTCGGCTTCTGCCCGCCCTAGCGCGCGGGATTGCTCGCAAATACAATGTCTGTTCTGTTGTAGATAGATGTGTGGTCGGGAATTTGCTATTTTAGCGCGCGTGTTACGATTTCGACGCAGCGACTTCTAAGAATTCTGTATTTTATCAATTTTTAAATTATGTGTTTGGACTTTTTAACGCTGCGTAGCGATTAATTGCTATTGATAACATTAAGATAAAGTAGTAGATAGCTTTAAAAAATCTTATCATCTTGTAGTATATTGATTGAATTTTGTCAAACGCGTTCTATCGTGTGCGAGTATTCTCTTCGTCGCCTTCCAGGTGTGGGTGGACGCGGCGACGCAGGTATTTTTCTCCTTGGGACCAGGCTTCGGCGTGCTGCTGGCTTACGCGAGTTACAACAAGTACCACAACAACGTTTACAAGTAAGAATGACGGATTTCTTTTTCCACGCATCACATCCGCGTCTGACACCGACGTTCTTCGCAGGGACGCCTTGCTGACGAGCTTGATTAACAGCGCGACGTCTTTCGTCGCCGGCTTCGTGATATTCTCGGTGCTCGGCTACATGGCGCGAGCCAGCGGAAAATCCATTCAGGACGTCGCCACAGAAGGACCCGGTTTGGTTTTCATCGTCTATCCGGCGGCCATCGCTACCATGCCCGGCTCGATGTTTTGGGCGCTCATTTTCTTCATGATGCTGCTCACCCTCGGTTTGGACAGCTCGGTATATCTTCGCTTTGTCTCAGGAACTATTTAACGTTATTTGTTTTTGTGTACTGGAATTCTTCTAATTTTTCTAACAATTATAATTATTTTTCTTTTCTTACGTCATTGAGAGACTTGATGTTATAAACGATACTTTTTCGTTAAGTGTTAAAATTAATACTTTGAAGGATGAGAATTAATATGATTTTATAGTTTGGAGGCTCGGAGGCGATTATAACGGCGCTCAGCGACGAGTTTCCGATAATCGGAAACAATCGCGAGATTTTTGTGGCGTGCTTGTTCACTCTGTACTTCCTCGTCGGACTCGCCTCTTGTTCACAGGTAAGTGAAGCAGATTCTAATCATGAATTTGCGGATTTTTATGAAACTTTTTATACATGTCATAAAATCGAGAGACACAAATCTTTAAGACTCTTTTTTTGAAATATTTTTCGCACGTTCCTTGAAATTTTATGCCGTTGGAACTATACGATTGTTGTATGCGTATGCGTCACGTCGTAAAAAAAAAGGTTTATTGCTTTTTGACACAGGGCGGGTTTTACTTTTTCCATTTACTGGATCGATACGCGGCCGGATACTCGATGCTGTTCGCCGTTCTAGCCGAAACAATCGCGGTCAGCTGGATCTACGGAACGGACCGATTTTGCGCCGATATTAAAGACATGATCGGATTCAGGCCCGGCGTGTACTGGCGAGTGTGCTGGAAATTCGTAGCGCCGCTCTTTCTCATGGTACGTCACAATATGCAGAGAAGCGGAGTACATTTTTTGCACCGTTAAGAATTCTTAGAAAAAATTCTTTCCCCAACGCGAACGTAACAAAATAAAAGTGATTTTCGTCGTTTACGGTTGAATATGTATGCTTGTTTCTTTGATCTCGCTGCAGTTCATTATCGTCTACGGTCTAATGGGCTACGAACCGTTGTCGTACGAAGATTACGTTTATCCTGTTTGGGCGAATATATTGGGCTGGCTGATCGCATGCTCCTCCATCGTCATGATCCCAGGTATGGCGATCTACAAAATCAGCGTCACACCCGGCACCTTCGTTCAAGTGAGTATTTCGTTTCGATTACAAAGTGACGATTTAATTTAGAAAATAATGGAAAGTTGGAGTCAATTCTTTTTACGACACTGCCACTTCGCTTGCTTTGATGAGGAATGAAACTCCGTTAATTATCCAAGATAATTGATGCACGTTGAATATTATTGTTAATTGATCAAATAAACTTTTCACCTCTGGATCAACTTACGTCGACTGAAACGACAATCTTGAACGCGAGACGCGAAAACGCGCGAAATGTAAATCGACCAATAAATTCGCCAATGCAGAGATTGAAGATCCTGACGACACCGTGGCGGGACACGCAGCACCAGAGAAGCGATCTGTCCTCGGTGGCGAACGGCGCGATTCGCCGGAGCTTCCTGGCCGAGCAGGACTTCGAAATCACCAAGGATCACGAGCTGACCAAGGAGCAGACAGAGGTAATGATTCAACCTAGGGAGGGCATTAAGGGGGGTGATCCGCCACCCGAACCGGTCTAGGACAGTGCGGTTGTGATTTTGCATGGTGCCCGGTTCCAAGTATACCTCTGCTAAAGCACGATCGCCGAGCAAAGTCCCACAACACGACGAGTAACACAATCCACCGATCTAACGAGAAACAATTTTTTGCACGACACTCCACGTTGAAACTTTCGAAAGATAAAGGAAAAAAAAAAGAAAAAAACAACCGGGCTTGACAATGAGATTCTCGCTTTGAGTCACGCGTTGAGAAACGTTTGCGCGTCGGACTTGCGCTTCGCCTCCCCGTCGACGGGAACGGAGCTCAGCCCCGTCCCGCTTGTTTCACCGTGACGAGAAAAAGAAAAAAAAAGAGAAACTGTCGTGTATAGATATATATGTAGGATGTAACAGATCGAGATTCCGGGGAAGAGAGCGGATGTCGTCGTCGGTTCCCGCTTTCCCCCTCGCAAACGGGCGTCGTTCGCGACGGTCCCCAGTTCTGTAAATATAATTGCGCGCGTCACGGAACACACGAATCGCATGGTATCGATGAAGTGCGTAGCGATCGATACATGCGTTTCTCTCACCGGACCGGCGTTCGTCGAGCAATTGTCAAACGGAAGCGGCAGCACTATCTTGGCTTTCCCGAAAGGGGGGGGGGGGAAACTGTTTTGAGTCTAGTTTAGCATCCCGTCACCCACCCCGATCATGCGACTCGACATTTCGCCGGAATGCGGCGACCAATCGCGAATCATCGCCCACGGTAATAAACTCTCTTCCCGCGACGGGTTCCTAGTCGTTTCGCGGCGTCACGCTCGGAACGAACCTTGTTATTCAATGAATATCCTTTATTTCCGATTGATGCGAATCGCGCATGAAGTATATTCGTTTCGTATATGAAGATGTTACAAAGAGCAGAGATTATAAACGTTAAGTTATTTTAGAGGAGGTGAGATTATACGCGACTTGTGATTGATTCTCGCCCCGAATTTGTGAGGGGCGAGAGTTCGGTTGTTAGCGTTGACGTTTCGAGCAGGAAGAAATTAGACAAGTTACACATTCGTCTTTGTCAAAATTTGTTTTTTCCGTTTCATTCCGCAATCTGTAAACACTCTTCACGTCGCTCGGGCTCCGCGTGCCCGCGCGACAAATGCTGTGTGGACTATACGCAAATTATTAATCACCGGTAAGATATTAAGCAATTGATTAGGTAGGTCTTATATATATACACGCATTGCCGGTGTGAATACGCTTCGTCGGTATGCATATTCAATTCTCATAGAGACGTATAACGCTGTAGTACAATACGATCCATTTTTTATAGATGCAATATGTGATCACGCTTAGGTTTCGCTGCAATTTCCTAGTCACGATAGTCATATAAATATATATATATTACACATATGATATGTATACGATGTGTGTGTGATTATTTTAATTTGAAGAATATATGGTAGAGCACTTTCTCTAATGGCTAGAAAATTGAGCTAAGCATTAACACGACCGCGATTTTATCCACATTAATTAATTTATCACCTTGCATTATCATTTGTTTAAACCGGCTCCACGCGACGCACTTATTCGTCGAATATCGAACACGGACGCGCTGGACTTTGCCGTGTTTCCGCATCGACGCGCAATATGTAATTCAGCGTGCACGGTTCGTTTATAATATCCGTATTCTACGCATGCATGTTTTAGCTATTAAGCTGAAAGATTAAATCAAATACGTGAAATTAATGCATAAATCGAGCTAGACGGTCACGTTTGGTTGCTTTAGATGTGTCTTGCTTAACTCTACGATTTGAATTTTCATTTTGATAGATAATTAAATGTCTTTTTCTCCTTCATTTTTATCAGCATTGCTTAAAGCAGCACTTAAATATTTAAAAGAAATCCCAGAAATATGACGATTGACTTTGTTATCTGTTAATTTGAGACAGAAACGCGAGGAGTTAAACGCGTGCCGCGAATGCAGGTCGATTTGCGCGGATAAACGCGTCGTGTGGGCGTCATGAAGAAGCGAGAATCAGTAGCAATCTCTAGTAGTTTGAAATCGTAGTACTTAACAAATATTCAAACCCTAACATGTGCTGGGCATGCTCGTAAATCCATTTGTCTATCTACTTCCACAGTTATGTGTTATCATGCGAGAACGAGGACGACAAATCGTTTCCTAATTCTCGATAATCTCACGTAGCGCACGATTTCCCCTTCGTTCGTGATGCGACGATCTTCAATTACGTTGGGGTTGTTCATCATTATCTAGTATTAACTGATACGTAGAATTTTAACCATTAGTCTAAGGCATTCGATGATTATTCTCAAATGTGTAAGTGTCCCTCGATACGAACGTTTCTGGATATCGCTTTTTTGTCCCAAAAGAGATCACCTTTTTCAAGTAAAATCTACAGTTTTGGTAGATTGAAAATTTATAATATTATTTTTATTACAATGCATATATTCTTTTTTACAGTAGTCATATCAACATATATATTCCACAATCGCGCATTTGGAATCAACTTTTGCCTTCGATTCTTCTTTCTTGGAAATTTATTTTTTTCAATTTTAACTCACAATTGTATGAATTTTACAATTTTCTCGTATTTCTTAATAAAATATCTTTTTATACGATATTAATAAAATCACGTTTGAAATTGAAGATTTATAGTGTTATTTTTAATTACTTAACATGTTATTATTATTAATACATATTATTTCTTGCAGCTGCCAAAATGTAAACATATTCAATGGAGCATTTGAAATCGATTTTTCCTTCTTTAGAAATTAATTCTTTTAATTTCAATTTACAGAAAATGCAAACTTTCTGACATTTTTCAGTAGAATGTCTTTTTGTACAACGTTAACAAGATCACGCGACAGTGAATAATCATGGAAATTCGGGTATTTCGGGACACTGCGCATCCGTCGTTGCGGCTTCCGTCGAGCGAGGAGATCGCGTATCGGGAGCTTTCGGCTCGTTAGGATACAATAATTACGTGTGTCATTGTAGTCTCTCGCGCGGACTGACTGGTGAAAGGCGGCCGGACGTAGCAATTAAGCAATTTCGAAATCGTCGTGATAGAGAGAGAGGCGTTAGAATCTTGCAGTCGCGCGCGACCGCCGCGATCTGCGGCCTCCTTCAACCCTCTCAACCCCTTGCGGTCGCGCGTGCGCGCGCGCGCGCGGTATATATATAGTTTATAGAGCTCGTTGTTTAGATACAGAGAAAAGAGAGATATATATGTACCTATAAACACACATGTATATGTATATAATGAATGCATATAGTATATTATATATATATTTTATACACATCGCATCCGAGTTGCTACCGCAGCCATAGATAGCAGCTCGGGCCTTGTTAAAGACGATTAAAACGGCGATTTCCTCCACGGCCGGAGGGTAAGCTTGCGAAAAAAAAAAAGGAAGAAGGAGAAGAGGAAGAAGAAGCTAGTCGGCGACTCGGGTAAAACCCCTCTCCTCCCGCCCGGTGTGGGGTGATCGGTGCGATTATGCCCGCCCAAACGAGCCATATTGGGCGGACATCCGCCGAACGCTTGTGAAGCTGCACATGTCGAGGGAAGTTTTGCACCGCTTGAAAGTCACGGTTAACGCACCAGCTTCCACCAACTCACGCTTCATTTAGTTTAGAATTACCGATTAACACTGTGTTATAACGTTGCATTAACACGCCGTTAACGAGATCGAAAGTTATTTAACACGTGAGTTCGGGAGCAGAGATTATTCTAATGTTTCTTCAGTTGCGTTTGACGCCTGAGATTTTTTCACGCGGGTAAGAAAGTTGTTAACGTTGACGACAGTTTGAATAATAATGATTTTTTTGTGATTTACTCGCTAAGATGACTGAGTCCTGAATATTAATGCGAAGGAAATAAAAGAAAAAGTAGCTGAATACGTTTGTAGAGCATGCGCATTTTATCGCGAAAAAGTGCGGGGGAGGCTTTTGCTAATAGCGGCAAGACGATTTATGGAAGAAGTTGAAAAAGCGGTCGATCTGATAAAATGAGAAATTTTATGAGATCTCACCTGTGTATGTCTTCTTTGCAGAATTCTTCGAACTTATAGGTTGCCATTGTGTTGTTTCGAAAAACTGAACGGTGCAAAATTGACTTTGACGTGTGCACTTTCTTCCTTCGCTACATGTCGCATCCTGTCGAAGACTGTTACAGCCGCGGCTTGGAGCTCGACCCTAATTAGCGATATAATCTACAGCGCGACGTAGCGTTACGCATGTAAAGATGATTTTGTCGAATAAAATTTCGTTCTCTAAAAAAGCGGCGCAGTCCATTTCTTCCTCTATGATTAAGACACTCCGTGGGAAAATTAATTTAACTCACTTTATTCTAGAAGAATTTATTTCTGCAGTATCGGATAATTAATTTTCAGCAGGAGAGAAGGATTTTAAAATTTTTCTATTAAATGAAGATAAAAATGAACAATGAAACAAAAAGGTATTTATTCTAATATATTTTACTTTTACATTTGAATAAGAGATTTATTTTTTATTTCTGATTCTTTCTCTTTTGATTATAAAATTAAAATTAATTATTTTATATTATATTTTGCAGATTAATTGACGCAATATTGCACCTATTGATGCAATTTTTTTTTGTATTTCTTATTATTCATTCGTTCGTTCGTTTGTTCGTAATAAACGTGTTTCCGTCGAAGAGTGTGATGACGAAGGAACACTTTAAAACGCCCACATCATGTTTACTCAATTTCTGCGAAACTCTTGCAGTAGAACTGCTTCAAATGCTCGTCAGGTCGTATATATTAGGCATAGCTGAAATTATCTCATAACGAGATGAGTTGTCTCTAATTAATAAACTGCTTTTGATATTATTTTTATTAACTCGCAGTCGCAGTTTGTTTTTTCCTTAATTTTTGCACATTTTTCAAATTACATTTTGCAATTTAAAGTCAATTTTAAAGTCTAATTAAGCATAGTCTACCTAAATTTAGGTAAAAAGATTTGTTATCCTTGAAACTTCTTTAAAAATTCTTTTAGTTTGAATTGTATTTGTTTTTCGAAAATAAGTAATGTTTCTAAAAGTTGAAGATTCAAGCAAGTTTCTTTGAGCTTTTAACTAAAAGCGCTTCCATTTGTCTTGCACTAATTGTTTTAAGAGAAAAAGTATAAGTAACAAATTGTTAATGTTTTAGAATTGTGATTATTGCTTTACAAAAGAATTTCGAAACGCTTAGCGCCGAACGATGAGAGCGCCGCTTGTGTGCGCTTTTAGCAAACAAGACGAAACACGCGCACCCTGTATAATCGTCTGCAGATCTATTCTTGCCTCTTCGCTATTCAATACTGATTCGACACACAACAACATGGCGCCTGCTACGGAGGGTCTCACGGATTTGCAGAGAGACGTTTTTACAAAAATCAGCAATAATGAAGTCTGCGAGCTCAAAACACTGTTGGCGTCGAATAAACTCAAAATGGATTTTGTGGATGAGAATGGCATGAGCCCTCTTCAGCATGCCTGTTACAAGGGAAACAAGGAGATTGTGCAGATGCTCTTGGATCAGGTAGGTTATGCTTTGCTGTTGTACCATAAATATCTTGTGTCAATAAAGTTACATCTACGATTTATAATCGATCTGTTTCATACTTAAAGCTATTTCTTAATCCTTCATATTTTTTTGCGTATATTAAATACATATTTATATAATTTTGTTCTTGAATCTTGCTTGCACAGTTAATTCATGACAGTTATTTGTTTACAGGGTGCGGACGTGAATGCGTGTCAGCATGAGCACGCGTATACTGCTCTTCATTTCGCCGCTTTAAGCGGAAACGCGGAATTGTGTCATCTTTTAATGTCGCACGGAGCACGCTTGACAGCGACCAACAGTGTGGGCAGAACCGCCGCTCAGATGGCAGCATTTGTGGGGAATCACAATTGCGTAGCGACTATCAATAACTTTATTCCAAAGGCTGATATAGATTACTACATTAAGCCTCAGGGTCTGCAGACTGAACCCATGCTACCACCGCATCTGGCAGATTGTTTTCACAAGTTCATCATGCAAGTCAATGTGCACCCTGTACGTGTCTGTATGAACTTACAAAGATTCTCCGCTCTTCTGGAAAACGCAGCGAAGGTGAGATACAATGTGAGAAGAGAATAACGAGGCGTGAAGTACAATTTATCTCGATTGTTCGATATGTGTTTTTTATAAAAATTTCTTTTCACAAAAAATGAGTGCATTTATATTTGTTTTATCTTCTAGATACAAAAAGTATTGGAATCTATGCGCTACAGAGAAATGACACGGGGCGCCGACACGAATGAGGTGATGGCCTTTAAATATCATTATCTCAGTTGCGTCGTGGCCGAGGTATTAAAATGTCAAAAGCGACAAGAGGCTATGAAAGCGGAGAAAAGTGAAAAGTCCGACACTGTAGAACTATTGGTACGAAGGTTCTTGAAGTGCAGCAAAAACGATGGTCTACCGGAATATCAAGAGGCGTTTCTGCGAGAAGCTGTGAGAGAATTTCCGTTCAGAGAGAGCACAATTTTTCGCCAAATGGTCGCTACGTTGGCGAGCACAGACCCGCCGTCCGCCGTTTCGGTAGTCTGTGCCGCGATCAACGGCCAGCGGGGCTTTTCCGATAATGCCCAGACATGTGTGACCTGCGGCGAAGACAAGGCCACGAAAAAGTGTAGCAAGTGCAAAGCGGTCCAGTATTGCGACAGAGAATGCCAGAGATTGCATTGGTTCATGCACAAAAAGGCCTGCGCCAGATTAGGCCAGTCGCCGGCTAATAACGGAAAGATGACGGATGTAGATAAGGAACAAATCAGCAATGCCGTCGGTTCCAGACTACAAAATCTAGCTGTTAAATAAATGTGTATCGTGTACAGATTTAATGATGTTAGCAATCCATTCGGGGGCGCGTTACATCTCTATACCCACGGACGCTTATTTTCTCCTGTACATAATCATTCGATGTAGGATTTGTGGGTCTGTATTTTATTTTGTCACATCTACCGAAGGTAACAATTCCATCATTTTTGCGCACTTAAAATCGTTGAAATTGCATTTTTTTCCCCTTTCTTTTTTCAATCACGCATTTATATCGTGCACTTTTGACTATCAATCCTTGACAATCAGTTAAGAAACTGATTAACCAACTGGAATCAAAACTGAAATTATTTACATAATTTCTTGATCAATGTGCAAAGTACTGTTTTTTTTTTTTTTTTTTTATTTCTATACACAACTCCGAGTTGCTACACTTTTGTGAACTGATGGACTTTTTTTATATATATACTTCCGTACTGCCTCGTACTTCTCTTGGATGATGAAATCGCCAAACATTTATAAGTTACTATTACTCTTGGTGTGTGCATGTGCTCAATAGAACATGTCTGTTAGTGTTTAGAACTGTGTTGCTCCAAAAGCCTTTATTATTGTTTGTCATTGTCAGAATAAAATATGACTTACTGATACAATTGGGGTTTTCTCTCATATACGCCATGTTACTAAAATTCATACCGATAATTATTATGTAAAATAGAGTTGATCATTTAAATTATAACACTTTACGTCCACTAAGAATAAAAGAAACGATGAAAATTGAACTCTATTATTGACGCGGATAGCCGAAATAATGATTTCCGGCTTTTCGAGGCCGCATTTTACTAAAATTTTACTAAAAGCAATCTTCAGCACTTTATCAACGATTAACTAAATGTAAAGAATAATAAAATAGCGAAAGACGAAAAGTAAAAAAAAATAAAAATATAGAAATTCAAAATGTGGAAATAAATCGTATATGTTTGTCGAGTTCGAAGTTTATTTCGCAAACGGTGAGAGGTGCAGACTTCGATGCAATCCAATCGATATAAACGTATTATTCACGGTCAATTTGGATAATTATTAGTCAATTTGTTTGTCGAGTTTATTCTCTTTGATATAATTAATCGATTTAAACAAATTATTCACGGCCAATTTGGTCAATTGTCAGTCAATTTGTTTGAAGATTCAAATTGGCGACACTTTCTCTCTTCTTGAAACCACGAGGATCTTCCAAGGGGTTTCAAACTTTCACTTTAAGCAGCGGATCCGATCGTTGCGTTTCGTTATGCAAACATTAGCAGTCGTTTTCGGCGGTGTACATATCCGTAATGACGTGTGACCGCCGTTGAATGAAATAGGATATTAAGATTTATCGTTTACTTGCATTCTCGGCGATTTTTATTGACAGAAGACTTTCTATTTTAACGCTAAAGCTATTTGTGTCTTATTTCTGCCGCAAAAGAAACTTTACTCCAAAATAATTAAGGAAATTACCTGCAATTTTGACTAATTATTCCAGAAAATGTGTTAGATGTGTATACGTTTACATTTTTCTCTGCTGTTTTACAGATTAGCAAAAGTTATTGTTATTGCAAAAAATTATCAAGATATTTTAAAAAATGTACGTGATTTGATTGGATAAGCTTTCACTTTTCATGGAATTGTACGATTGCATAAATCTTTATTTGATTGCGTTAAAATTGTTGAACAAAACGAGAAGGTCGGATATTCAATGATATTAGACACTGAAAGTGACATATTAGACACTGAAAGTGGTAATTTTGAAAGTTGCAGTTTCATCGAAATGTGCATGCGGTACAGAAATATAACACCTACATGTGAAACAAATGATGTAAAATGATAACGTTGTACACTTATGTCAGTTGAACTTGCGAAGACGGAACGTGATACGTATTAAATATTTCTTAGCGGTCATAATAAACGCTGTCAATTTCCGTACTTCCGCTGTACGGTATCTGCTCAATCAACTTCCTTCAGCCGTCAGACACAAGCACTGTAGAATTTTAAGTATTTAATTATTTTCATATATTTATAATAAATACGCACATATTTTATTTGTGCGAAAACTACGAGAACTCATATATTTTATACTCATTAATTTATCTTCTTTTTTAAAGATTACATCATTTGTTATTTATAAAGAACAAAATTTATAATAATGATTCTGTGATAATTAGCATGTATTGATATTTGATATTTTTACATATTTGAGCATAAGTTATGCGTTCTCGCGAGGACACATCTATTGAGAATTAGAAATAAAGATGCGGATATGTAAATGTGATGCGCAAACTGCTTGGATTTGTAAATTTGTCGTTCAGCTTTCGAGAGAAAATGAACATGTTCGAAAACAGGACATTCAGTGAAATATATGTAACTTTTCGAAACTTTCACTCAACGACGGCTCTACGTATCGGCGCTACTATTATTACAAATTGTTTTAGTATGCAAAGTGTCTTTTAAAGACTTCACTAAGTCAAAATCTGTAGTTTCTTTCTCTTACTATTGCAATATATAACAAAAGAGCCATCTATATATTTGAATTAATTAAATTTAAATTTAAATTTAAATTAAAACAATCAAATAAAAGTAATTTATGTTCATCGAACGATAAAAATTCTTTCAAAGGTAGGTGACTTGTTTTCACATATTCAAGTGTCACCAAAGATTGCTACAGTAATATCATTTCCTTTTTCTCTTCGTGTGGCAAAATTTCTCTCGTATAATTTACATATCGTTTATTCATTAATTAATTTTAAAATGTTAGAAGATCAAGATTTCGGACAGTGAAAAGAAACGACAGATTCTTTAGTCCACTTTCCCGAAAGACAAACATTCTTATACAAACGTTTTCTCTTTCTGAATGGAAACGTATGAGGCGTGTCCGAAAATTATCGGATGATACATGCAATATTGTAATATTGTTATTATATAATATTGCATTTATGCGTCTAAAATTTGAGATAAAAATTCATTTATAATTTTATGTGATAAAAAAACAGAAAAACTAGACACACGTACGAAACATAGATTACGATATATATTTTGCGCGTATATTCTGGTTTTTTGAACAAATTAAATATAAAATTATTAATGGAATTCTATATCAAATTCTGTCACGAATTACAAATCATCCAAAGTGGATTTAAAATACTTTCAGCTCTGCATTGCAATATAATTTCTTTTGCGAGAAAATGTCAGGAGAAAACAACCAATTATATCCTAAATTTACTTTCATAAAAAAACTATGCATACTTATTTACATATACAAGTTTGGAGACCTCGGACGCATAATTCACAGGTTTTTAGTTGAGAAGGGAGATTATTTCTCCTTTTAACGAACAGAATTCTCAATGGAAAAAAATAACCAAACTACTCCTGACCAAAATACCTGCAATCGTTCGGCAACGCGGCGCGGACAGGTGGGAAAGGTTCAAGGAAGGGAGACCAACTGACCGCAGAAGAAAACGGTATCCCGGGTGGCGGCGATTCGGCGGGCAAAGTCACGATCCACATCGATCAGTTGTCGAAACGTGCGCGCGAGGTGCGCAACGACGAGGATGATCCCCGAGGTGCGCCTGGTCGTCTTCACAACGACGGTGGTCGCCGCGTTCCTGGTGACGCAGGTCTCCACTCACATAGTCGCGTGGCGGGAAATGCGGCGTGAAGGACCGATCCGCGATGCGATCGAGAGCGGCGCCGCCGCCGAGTACAATAAGGACGCCTGCGTGTGGCGGCGTGGAAATGATCGGGACGTTTGTCCCGATCCGGATGTGCACGTATATCTGTACACGCCTGGCCGACCGCGGCGATTATTGGACCCCACGGTGCAATCCGACTGGCTGCGCCAGGACTACGAGCCGACTAAGGACAATGTGATCCTGGTTCACGGATACGCAGGTGAATCCTAGAATGTTAAGAATTGCTTTGCAGGACATTTTTTTTATTTTTCTACTTTCTTCTTCTAAAACCCACTTTAGACGATCTGTAAGAAAAGAGATGGAGTTGGTATTTTTTTTTATTTGTGTGTCGCGTGAAAGAAGAAATATTTTTTGCGACAATTTTGGCGTTAATTCGTAGGTGGAGACGACACACTGCCGATCGCGATTTTACGCGACGCTTATCTGAAGAACGGTAGCTACAACGTATTCCTGGTCGATTGGGGTGCGTTGTCCGCGAAACCGTGCTACCCGGCCGCGGTGTCGAATATGCGATCGGTGGCTAGATGTCTCGCCGGCACTCTGACACATTTGAGAAATCTCGGTCTTCCGATCACGAGGACCACCTGTGTCGGGCACTCCTTGGGCGCTCACATCTGCGGCGTTATGGCCAATTATCTGCTCTTCCGCATGCACAGGTAGATCCGCACACGAGAAGCACACACGTTAATTTAAAATATTTTTACGTGTCCGACATCGACATCGGCAATTTTCATGAAATTTGCTAACATTTTGCTCCCGCGCGCAGAATAATCGGCTTGGATCCCGCGCGTCCGCTTGTGCGATCGAACCTGGTGAACCGGCTGGACGTCGGCGACGCCGAGTTCGTCGAGGTGATACACACGAACGCCGGGTACTACGGTGAGATCGATCGCATCGGTCACGTGGACTTTTGCGTGAACGGCGGTAAGGTGCAACCCTTCTGCGAGGACAGGGAGATGTATCAGCTGTGCAGCCACGTGTGGGCGGTCTGCTTTATGGCGCAGAGTATCGATGACGAAGGTGCGAGCCTGTTAGCCGAATCCTGCTCCAGACGGTGTCCATCTGGCCCGCGGATCGCCGCCAGGGCGGGCGAATATGTGACTATGGGTCAGCACACTCCGATCGACGCTAGGGGATCCTTCTGCTTCAACAAAGCCGACCCGCCCTACTGTCCGAGTCACTGGAACGGCCGCGGTGACGAGAGATGCTGCGTACCGGAAATAACAAAGAACGAGGACATCGAGGAGAACAATGTGAAATACGAGAATTTGACGAGCCGCTCGAAATTCACAAAGCGGCTGAACTTTGAGCTTGATCTGAAACGACCGAGGCGCATCAATTAAACACTTCTCTCGGTTGAATTAAATTCGAGAATTGTAATGTGTCTAATAATTTTTGCAGCGCCGCACGAATTTGTCGAAATTTTTAAACGGCTGCTTCTTTAGCGTAAGTTTTCGCATATCTTAGTTTATTTATTCGCTAGACATTTTTAGCATAAGATTGAAATTTTTCAAGCTCCATTATTTGAGAATGAGGAATCTACATTTGCTTAATGTACCTTATATTAATGAACGGGTGAGATGTTTATATATACATGCTATTAAGACCTTCGTACGGTACCGGGAAGCGTGCAAACCGATCTGAGAATGCGGTGTCGTCGATTATGTATTCAGAATACCGCGCAACCCGTCGCGTGTCCGGAAAAATCCTACGTTTGTAATATAACGGGCGTCATACCGTTACACGCTCCACTAATAACGCCGGGGAAAGTATTCACGACAATAACGAACGATCCATCAAGTGTCTCGATGCACGTATTCACTTTACTAACGAGTGTTCTCTCGCACAGCTGAATCGATTTTATGTCTATCGTATCGAAATATTCTTGCAGATGTAAAACTGGCAGCTATACTTTGTAGTCATGTTTCCAAAGCAGCTCAGAGAGTATTTATAGTTTTTACGATATACCTATCTGATATGTTATATGTTATTTATTTAAATAAAAGACATATCGCTCGTTTTGTGTTCCTTGAAGCTGTCCCAAGAATCCCGGTTTCAGTTTCAATTCTTTGAAGCGTGGAGAATTCCCTTGTCGAACAATTATCGAAAAATATATCTTACGTTTAATATTTTATCTTCAGTGTTTTACAGTAAGATAACGAAATATCTTAACAGAAATCTTGGTTCGATTTTAATTACATACCAGCTGAGAAATTTTATCTCTGAAACAAAATCAGTTGTTGGTAGATCAATTTATTTTCCGCGAAGTAGCTCGTCATTTTATGTAAAGCAATATGAGACTTAATTCTCGGCATTTTACTCGAGTACCCGGGATTTCGTGTTTTGGCCAATCGAGACGATGTCTCGAGTAGTTTTCATTTCAAGCCGGCGTCCCGCTGATCCTTGTAGAAGTCTCTTGAGATCTCGGATGAGCCGACACGATCGTCAGAATAGGCGACAAACAGGCGCGCCACACTCTCTGAGTGTCTTACAATGGTATATCGGTGCAGATAGCGTGCTTAAATCGGCGCGACAGACATAGGAGGTCGTCTCGCAAAAAAGATATAAGAAAAAAAATTTATTATATCTTAAAAGGGAGAGAACTGTCGCGAAAAAGCCAAATATTAAGTATTATTTCATGTTACTCGAATAATTGTAACTCAGTATAAATAATCATTCAAATCAGTACAAAAAAATTTATTCAAAATTATTAAACATACTTATTGGAAATATAAAAATATGCGGACCTTTCAGAAATCAAGCTAATTAACTCGATGAAGTAAAAAGTAGAAAAAATTAATAATTTCACACTGATGCTAAAATTAAGAAGTTTACAAAAAGTGGAGTCGATCAGTTTGATTTCTGATAACACTGTGACACATTACATTATTTTATGTTAGAGTTATGGATAAAAAATAGAAAAAATAAGAAAAATTAAACGAATAAGACACTCGGTAATGCCATTCTATTCATAGAGAAGAATAAAATTCTTTGGCTGTAAAGGTAGCATACGGTATCAACTGGTATCAAAATATGATTTTTGGTCATATTGCATATATGTGTAGATATGTATATGTCTATATATATATATATATATTTCTTTGGTAATTAAATATACAATAATAATATACATGACGCAATAGTAAAAGAGACATATACAAGTCTAACACAAATTATCACAAATATGAGCTCTATCGACAAGTTTATTTATGAGTTTACATTGTAAGCTACTCGTAAAATTAATCAGGAAACAATCTGTAAGAGGTAGGGAAAAAATTACGAAGCTGGGATTTGGAGTTGGGACCCTTCGTTCCACGCACCTAACACTTAACCTTCTGCCCCACGACACTGCTCTTACAATTGTTCTGATTCCCTGTTTCTAACCTAACGTGGTTTCGCGGTTCTATAAATTCTAAAGATTCTTCTCTTCAGCATCGACGAAAGTAATTTTATTTTGTTTCAAAAAAATTGCGCGTAGAAAATTTTTAAAGCAAAATAAAATTATTTTCTTGATAAATTCATATGGAGCATCGAGGGGTAGTAATTCAAGTTCGGTTGCTGTAAGAAGATTTGGGGAAGCCTGGGAACGCAAGTAGGGTACCAACAATTGTACGGTGATATTTGTAATAATGGCAATGTTTCCGTTGCTGTCGGCTGGTCGGAAGATGGTGAATTCAACCAGGGCCTGTGAAAGCGTATAGGTGTTTCGTTATTATTATCTTCCTCCCTTAAAGGCGATTCATGGTTCGTAGTTATCGATGTTGACCGGTATCGCTTCACGGTATTGCAGGCATCGTCGTCTGAAATTCGGCTCTCGGAACTCTCCTGCAAGCCGTCTAAGCTGCTCTCGCAGTGAGAATTCGACTCGGCCGATTCGAAAGAGGAATTCTGATCGTCCTTCCTCTCGAGATCCTGATACTTGCGCTTGCATCGCGACCGTCCCACATCGGTAAATCCCTTCGCGAACGGATTGTTGTCAATCTTTAACTGCGTGATATTTTTATTCTAAGGAAGTACAAAATAATAATAATTAATCACATGTAAATAAAGTGTGGCAGAGTGTTTACGGCCGCTTGTATGATTATTATTACTGATTATAATCTTAGCAAACTGAAGAGAGTCCGAAAATTAGGCTAAAACGGTTCTATATGTAAATCATTATTCTATATTAATTTGTAATGCATTTTTCTCGGCACGACACGTTTTAATTGTTGCTTTAATTAATTAATTAATTATTAATTAATTAATTAAATTCTTATAATTCTTTTTTCATTAGCTTTCTGTTAATACAATTACTATAAAAAAACAACATAAACTTTGCATTTCGGAAAAAGGTATTTTTAATAAAAATAAATAAAAAATATATAAAAATTCAATTAAATAACTTAAAATTATATCTCTTCGTAATGTAAATGCTACAAATCCGAGAAAGAATTTTTATACTGACTTTGATTCATTTTAAAGAAGGATTTCTGATCTTTTCTATATTTACTTTGACTTATTTTAAAAAAGGACTTTTGATCTTTTGTATATCTACTTTTCAGGACATTCTTCAGATAGATTATGGTTGTGTTTTTTACCTGATACGCTGTTACGGCAATAAAAGTAGTTTCGTTAAAAGTAAATGATGCAGCTGGATGAGAAAAGAGTTCGGTAAGAGTCTCTGCATTGTTACAACGAATTATCCGAATCGTAGGAATGTACTTGTGCATCGATGTTAACAGCACCTGTAATACAAATATATATCTGTTCTAAATATAAATGAAATTCTATATACAAAGAAAATATATAGCTTTAAAAAATATGAGCACATGATAATTCAAGATAAAATGTAAGAAATAAAATAACATATGTTATACGATAAAATATCATTAAAATCGAGACAGGCAATTTTGAAAATTAAATTGATGCGTATTTATTATGCGATTTCTCGTGCAAATCCAAAAATGTCAAAATTTTATGACAAACATAGGCTGTACCGTTATTTGCAAATAAGCTAACTATTTTTTGTTTTTGTATTTTCAGATGTAAATACGAAAAAGGAAAGATCGCTATTACGCAGCGTGCATCGAAAGTGAAAGATGATCCCCGACGCATGAAAAGACTCTTTCTGTTAGCTGCGGCGGAGCGCCGGGAATTTTATTAAATTCGTAATTAGTTTGAGGAACCCGGGTAAAAGGGCGCCGCTTCTTTGAGATAAGTTGGCGCCTTACTAAAAAGGCCGACCATAGACACAGACGCGATTCCCGAAAACCAGACTGGTCCTGCAACCTTCTCAGAATCGTTGTCTCCAATACTACCAGAAAAATCTCGTACGAATCTAGAGCGATGCACCGTATCTTCAACGTTTGATCTGGCGTTAACAATTACGATAAATTCGATCGCATTTTTTATGCGCGGCATATATTTTCTCGATACTTAAACTTCTCTTTAGCAAATTAATATCGTGTAAATTATTAAAATTAAATAATTTAAATATATTTGTTTTATAAAAAACAATAATAATATAATAAATTTTAATTAATCAACTTTTTAATACGAAAAATGTTTCAGATTTCTTTCGACACTTTTGTGGATTTAAATCAATTTTATGTTTGATAAGTAGTTAAAAAAGCATCAATTACATTTTCTAATATTAAGCATTATATATTTTGATAATTGGACTTCAAAAAATCAATTTTATTTTAAATCACATAGCTAAGAAGTCAAGTTTTGTCCTGAAAGTTCAATATTGATTAGACACAACTAAAAATCTATCGATAGTTTGCTAACAGTATTCTACTTTATGTAAACTATCGATTTTTAGATTAAATCTCTTTAGACCAATAAAATTTCAAGTATCTTTCGTATTGAAAGAAAAAAGGTGACAAAACTGAGATAACCGCATGACAATGTAACAAATCCTTTATTTACTACTGGTATGTTTGAGGATTAGTGTTTGAGGCACGTGTTTCATGCATGAATCGACTCGAATAAATATAACGAGAAGCGAAAGAACCGCCGCAATTTTCCCCCGTGCTTTTCGCGTCGACAAAAGCTGAGGTGGACTATAAAGCGACGTTCTTAGCACCGGCGGCGATTACTTTGACGGCGGCGAGTCTTGTCGGCTCGTAAACAAACGAAGCTTACTCATTGCGGCCGAAGAAGGACGTATATCGATTACAGGGCGTTGTAGAGCGCGATAATCTTCCTTTTTCGCGGCATCGATCGGCGGCACCGTTTTGAGTAGCTTAAGTCTCGCTCGAAAATGTGTCCGTCGTCGATCTTTTCACGGCGAGATTCTAATCCACAAACACCAAAGGCACCGCCCGAGCCGATTTTGTGGGAGGCTAGTTCAGATTACCCGCAGAAATTTCGCAGCACTCGGAAACGTGATGTACGAACGACACGCAGACTCCTGTTCGTGTGAATAGTTACCGAAGCTACATTCATCTTTGCAATCGTGTGAAGCACGATTCTGTTTCTTGCAGCAAATGTGACGTTATCAATTTTAAATTTTTAACACTCGCGATTATTATAAATTATTATAACTGCGAAATAAAATTGTGTCAGTAATTACGAAAGTGACCTAAGTAAAAAGGCAAAGAAATTTAATTTATTACTGGCATAATTATAGTTAGAAATTACAAAAGCACGATTTTTACAATTTTAGCATAAATTAAAGCATAAATTAAAGCACTGCTGCAACAGTGCTTTTTATTTTAATTGCTTATTCTACAAGTATATCTGTTATTATCATCATGTGGTGCATTATCTCCACTAAAGTATTTCAGAACATTTTATATATTCAGAACATTCTATAGATACTGTGGAAGAAAAAGATTTTTTTGAGATGCGAGATTGAGTGAAAACAGAAAACGAAAAAACTAGATAAGAATAGACGAAAGAAGAAAAACAAGTTAACTAATTCTATTCTTTCTTTTCTGTCTTGTCTTTTGTAATTTTATCTAAGGTTACAGATGTCAAAACATTCGAACTCGTATCAACGGCTCCAACCGACTCATTATATAGTTGCAATCGTGAAACATACGTGATTACGCTCGACGACATTGTTCGTGAGCTTTAGTTTGGTGAAGCTGATTGTATTCTTCATCCAGTAATCGCCCATGGCAGGTCCGTCGGGGTGCATGTAGATCCTGCGGTCGAAGCGCGGCTGGGGTTCCGCCGGCCCGGCGTAGCTCCAACCTCCGATATCGCTCCTTCCATCCTGACCCGCGCTGTTTCTGCAATATTTGTACCGTCGACTGCACGCCGGTTGAATCTCCAAGACGATGTAGTAACGCTCGTGCTTCTCCAAACCGCTGACGATCAACTGGATGGACGGATACATGCGTCTAAACAGAACATTGTTGCATGTTAAAACAACACGTGCAAAAATCTTGGAAATCTTTTTCTCATAGAAAAAAAAACATAAACCGAAGCAAAAGAGACAATTGCTTGAATGAAAAAGAACAAGAATCGTGACAACGCGATTTGCAATTCGTGATAAACAAATCGTGTCCATATTTTAACAGGTATAAAAAAAAAATTGCATTGCTACTCGCGCGAGGTGTATTTTACACCTCTTTTTGTTGCAACACATGTTCAAATATAAATATATGTCTTTTTTGTAAAATTAAACGCTTTCATATTAAACTTGAAGAAATACAAAAGCGCTGCATTAACAAAAAATTGTTATAACGAATTAATTCGCGGAATTTCAACGCGTCTGAAATGTTTTTTACTTAGTGACAGTGAGTTAAACTAACTCCTATGACTCAGATTTCATAACTTAGATGCATTTGAAAAAGGTCTAACAACTATTATCTTTCTCAATAATAAGGGTTGACCTGTTTTGAAAATTCTTTTTGTACAGGTAGTCTTCACGAAATAAGCCTGAAAAGTATAAGCAATAAAGACGAAGCACCAAGCTTAGACGGATAATATTTACTTTGCTAAGTTGTTACTCATCAGCATTTTTCAAGAGATCTAACATCCTAAATTCCTAGTCGTGAAATCACTAAGCATCAACGTCTGAACGTCTAATTGTGGTTTTCTCGCATTTTCCACATTCCATGTTTGCATTTTTCTATCGTATCAAGCAAACAAGTTAAAAGGCTTTGCTTTGCTCATCTCGTGCTATTTGTGCTTTAAAAATCCACAACATATAATTAAAACTTGACAATTCCTTATTTCCAATATTTTATTACATAATTATTTTTTATGTAAAAAATTATTAATTGTTATAAAATTGATCAGCGTGTTATTAATATTGAAAAACACTTGACAATCGTTGAAAGAAATAACTTTTTTGTAATTTTTGAATTTACGATTTTTTCGTAACTTTATGAAATTTGGTTGTGCGATAGTTGTGAATTGACAACAAAATTATACAAAATTAATCCCGGCGTGAGAGTGTGTTAACGCCATTGCAAACTCGCGTCGCGCGATAAAAATTAGTCGCCGAAGAAGCTGCTTGTACTTACGAGTCGATAAGATAACAGATTTATAGCAGCCGGTGAACACGCATTAATGACACGAGCTGCGCATCGAATGCAGGAGGGTTCGGCAGTCGCGTGGTCTATGAGCATCTGTTTTTCATCTTCGGAAAGATTTGCGTGTAATAATTATATCGGCGCACAGATTTAAAGTGCACGAGCATGAATGATTTTTGTGTTATTCACAAGTATCGTGTGCTGTCACACATATTTTTCGCTTCGCTCTTTGATCGCATTGTCGAGAGAACTAAAGTTGTCATGGCTGTTCGAAAATGCTACTTTTAAAATGAAAAAAGAACACGCAAGCGTTGAAATAAGAGTCGAAAAACGGACCGACTGTAGACGGATGGAGAGCGTGTTGCGCTAATACCAATTGTGCGAGCGAGTTCGCAAGATCTGCATAAAAGAAAACAGAAAGCACGTGGTAGACACGTGTTAAGATTCATAAGCCGGAAGGCACGTACGAAACGACTCACCAACAGCATCTTCGCCCAGCTATTGTCACGCCACGCCTAAGTCTGGACGAATAGAAGCATAAACATGTGTCGAATTTTTTTGTTCTCAGATCATTCCTTTACGATGCGCTAGCTCGTTAGAAGTACGATCGATGGTCACTTTACGTCGTCGACGAGACTTTAGGTGGTCTTGTAATAAGATATTCTGTGAGATTGATGTATAACCGAATATGTAGACTTTTTTTTTGGTGAAAGATATAGAATTTCGATAGACAAACGCGCAATAACTGTTTCTGAATCTTATTTTTCTTTCGCCCACGCGACAGTAATACGAAATCATAACACGTGACATCGCCGTGTCGCGTTATCTGCTTAAAAGTCGCGAGAAATTCTACGTATGTCTATCTCGAATGATTATCGCTCCGATCAACTGATCGCTTCCGGCAAGAAACCGGTCATCCGGCGGATGCAATCCGTGCTTCGCCAACCTCTTTTCTTATATATATATATAGTGCATCGATTATGCATTTTTCGCTTCTGAAAACAAAATCTGAAAACGAAATGACTAAAAATCGTGTAGCGGTTGAGTTATGACGGTAAGAAGATAAACTCTGATGATTGTGTTATTCTTTTGACCACCTACAGCGAAGCTAATCGCATTATCGTCCCTTCGATATTTCCATCCGCATAAAGAATCCTTATTACATATGGTTACTGCAGAAATATGCGTCGAAAGTAACGTTTCCGATACTGCGATATTTTTACAATATCAATCTTTTATACGGAGATGCGAGAATGTGCCATGTCATTTCGTGAAATTCGTCATATTAAAAAAATTCGATGATTCAATCGCACTATAAAAATTTTGAAACAAATGGATCGAGACACGCATTCTAATGTTTGTATTTTCCTAAATATAATTTTTAAATACACAATTTTTGTGTAAAAATAAAAAAATTTTAATGTATAAATAAATATAAGATAATCGCATCCAATGCGATTTTTTGTTATAGAAATTTATAAATTTTTATCAAAATATCTATTTAATATATTTGTATTAATATAATTTAATAAATTTATAATTATATAATTATAATTTAATATATTTATTTAATTATAAATTTTTAATTTATTATTAAAAAAATCATTCTTTTTTTAGATAATGATATCTCTTAATATACATATTAAAGTTTAATGTATTAATAATTAAATTTTAATGTACCAAAAGATATCATCATTATCTAAAAAAGAAGAATAATTAAATTAATAATTAAATTTTAATGTTACTAGGACATATATGCGCGCGTTACACGCGCGCCTTTTCTCTTCTGCTCTTTCCTTTTAATTTATTCAAACATTTTAAACTTATCAGACACTAAACAGCTATTAAAATAAAGCCGTCAAAATACAAAATGTAATTAACAAATGCAATTATCTTGATAACAACCGATCGATAATAAATCGATAATAAATAATATCGTCTAGGCGAATGGTCTTGGCAATTAACAAATGGAATCGATAACCGTTGCAATGGCAACGAAAAGAGGCTTAAAAAAATAAATAGTACTTATGATAAAAATATCTCTAGGTTTAAGATATATTATTGAAAAAAGAAAAGATTATTTTCAGAGAGAGATATTAACTTACACCTAACCCAAAAATGTTAAGAAAGAACAATGTGTCCGGGTGTGTTAAGTGCGTCCCAAATTTTTTGTCTATTCCATTAGAGACTTATATAATCGGAATGGTAGACATTGTAAGTCTATTTCTCTACTGAGGGGCTGATGCGCTTGAAAGAAAAATTTGCGATAAGATAGTGCGGCCTTAGTATTAGCCTTTTTGCAAACAGGTTATTGTTCCGTAAAAATATTGCGACATGCTGGGTTTTTCGGGAACGGCAACTTGGCGCCGTACCGTTCCAGACAGAGGGGATGTGGTCGCATTCGACGTCTAAGATGCACCTCTTACGGGCGCCAAGACGAAGAGCGATCTTGACATTGAAGCGTGTCGAGGAAAAGTCTTGTCGTGCATCCTCAAATTGTAGGTAGGCGCCAACTGCATATTTGACCGGGCGCCGCTTAGACGCGTCAAAATCGACGCGTAAAAGAATAAAACGGCGTGATAATCATTAATGCATTACAGAGTAATTAACACCCATTATCCTATCGCGCCGAATTATCATCACAATTCCAATTTTTTTATCACATTTTGTGTAATGGGCGCTTGCTTTATCACTTTTCTTTTAGTTTTAAATAACAATAATCAAAGTCTATTATCAAAAATAGTGGTAAGATGTTTATGAATAATGAAGGTTATACATAAAGCTGCATTGCTAAAAATTATCAGGACATAACGTGTACTTACCGGCCAAGTTTCGTGATGATCATTTCGTTCGTCTCGGTGTGGAATTTTTGCCACAAGTTTTCATTTTGCAATTTCACGGTAATTTTATTTTGTAATTTGACATGCCGCAGTGATAAAGGCGATGGAAATGACAATGATACATTCGATTTGTCATCTGCAAATTGAAAGCACATAATTGATACGATTAGTCAACAGAATAAATTTTCCCCAGAACTTGCGACCGCAGATTTAAATTCAGGATCTCATAAAAATCTCAAATATACATTATTTATTCGTAATGGCGCGTTGTTTTTTTGACAATTAAAGAGTTGAAAAAATGGCACACGCTATACCCGAAAAAAATGGTATAATTGTATATAATTGTCATATAAAATATTACATGTTATCAGATCTTTTCATAATTAATTATATATATTTACATCCGACCATATTATACTATTTTTTCTCGGGCTTACACGATGAAATATGAATGCTGACACCTCGATTCTCAAGAGTATATTCGCATGCGGGCGGTGTAAAAAAGGCTTTTGTAAAAAAAAACGACGCTGTGTTTGAGGACGAACAAAAAAGAAAGATAATGACCTCACAGGAATGCAGAACTTTGCGGCCAAAACTGTCGCACGTAAAAATCATCAATCACTGTCGCACTTATCTCACAGGTCAGAACTACAGGCACAATTGCGGACCATCCGATTGTCCGTAAAATGGAAACCGAAACCGGTCTTATAGATGAATAACAATTGTTCGTCGGTCACTAAAAGTCGGCGTCTTTTATCGTTTTCAAACGTTTTTATGCACACTTCGAAAGTGACCGTATTATATGAGTTAATAATTAACTGAATGACCGAAGACCTCTATAATGGTGAGGAAACGTGCGATTTTTCGTTACGGACTAAAATCGAAAAAGGTTTCTTTGCGGGAAGGAAAATATTAACGAAACGAAAGTGAAGCCATAAATTTCATAAAGTATCAGATTTATTAAAGTTGCTGTAAACCGAGCTTTTTGACACCCGCACTGTCAGTTATTAAAACTTATTGAATTATTATTATATATAATTATTCTTCAAATTATGATTTATTAATTTTGAAATTTACAGATTTTTTTCAATCAAAAATTTATTAACTTTTAACAAAAAGTTTAATGCAATAAGCTTTCAATTTTGAAAAAAGTCTATAAAGTGGATTAAAATAGACAGAATAGGAAAGCTGAATCAAGTGATAGATCGCGAATTGCAATGCGACATCAAATCTTAATTTAAAATTTGCATGTCGCGTTAAATTAACATTGCAGATCAAATCTCTTAAAACATCTCTATCGCAGAAGTAAGTAATTGCAAATTTTAACTAACCTGATTTATCGCGCACAGCGATCTGCTGTTGCGTTGGATAGGAGGGCAGCATTGCGTTGAAGGCATTTGCCATGGTCAGATTTGGCCATGGCAAAGGCGGTGGCGATATGTAAGGCATTGTCACGTCAGACACATACATATTTATATCTTAAACAGACGTTCAAAGCGACGCCTTCAAAAATTAATATTTTGAACTGAATCGACAGATTACGTAAAAGAACACGAAACGCTGGAGAATGCTCTTGAAAGACGCGTGACATCCAACTCCTTGCAGTCCTGTATAACAACTGAGGAGATTCCGGACCCTTTAAGGCAGGATAGGAACGGTGCAGCGCGTCCATCGCGATGAACGAGCACGCCGATTCGTGCGTGTCTATTGGTGAACGCATCGCCCTCACGTATCGCCGCACCGCCTACGCAAACCCAATTGGCGGCTTCACGACTCCGACAACAAGTGGGGCTCCGAAATTCGTACTCACTTGTGTGCGACAGAAGATAAGAAGAACGCCGAGAGTGGGGGAAAGGAAGAGTATAATGCGTCATACAAATTATATTTTTTTAATCTCGCTTGGCGCCAAGTATTCTAGCTTTCGTTTTTACTAATAAGTTAGGCTAATTAAGAATTTTTTGTTTATTACGGTAGCAATTACTTTATACTTACAATTAGTAGTAATAGTAGTATACAGGATGATTAGCTTCGAACAAAATTTTGAAAAAGAAAAAATTGTCTTAGAATTTACTCAAGAATTTGACATTTCAAGGACAATAAATTGTCCTGATCACCTTTTATAGCGATTGGGGCTAATAGCAGCCCCCACTGTTACTTAGGTCTTAATGGCTTGCTTGTCTTGAGGTTTATCCTGATAACTCAATCCTGGCGTTAACCGCCGGATTATACAGGTGGTTTGTCCTCACTTTGTTGAGACTCCGTGGAGACAGAGAACTCCAAAATCTTTTTAATGCAAGAGCATACACACAGAAAAATATCATTCTATTGCTAAGAAAAGTAATTACTCGGCTTACTTTTCTTTTTTTAAGTAATAATTATCTTTAATAAAGAATATTTTCTTGATAATAGTCTTAAAATATACTCATCACAAATTTTTGATAAATTCATTATCATATACTCGAAAGAAGTAATTATTTTTTGGTGAAGAATATTATAAAATTGTATCGAAGAAAAGTCAGATTTGGTTAATTTAATAAGCAAATAGAATTCTTTTTCTAATTTAATATTCTTGATTGAAGTATTAAATAAATTAAAAATATAATATTGGCTCAAATTATTCAAATAAATTATTAACAACAAGCTACAGAGCCCAAGCTGGATTTTCGTGCTTAATTTATTAATATATTATAACAAATGTTTAGGTCAATCTAGACGTTTCGACCATCTGGTTGTGGTCATCTTCAGTAGTTAGTTATTATAAAATTCGGAACATATTAATAAACAATCGTTACTTATAAAACTAATTCGGATATTACAATCTTCTTATATTCGTTACATTTAAAAATTGTTTAGAAGGACAACACATCTTGAAAGTCATGCCTCTTCTAATAACACCAATCTTAAGATCATCAGGAAGGAAATCATGTTTTACATTAAACATACACGATGTCCTTTTTAAGATTTGAATTGTGGTTGATTGCAATTATTCTCAATGCATAGCAGTACCGTCATGTTGTGTTTTTCGTTGTAAACTTTCTTATTTTAAAAA